TTATTTTTGTTGTATGGTTGATTGAAGGCAGCAGGAAGAAAACTCAAGAGCTAAATTACATAATAATCAGTACATTTCATTGTTTACTATCCTAAAGATACTGATGTCACCTGTGTGAGATTTGAACACGAACTACCTTCAAACGCCTAATATCTCATCCTAGTTCAATTGTCTGAGATTACTAGATTGACAGAATCGATTAAATAATAAATGATAGAACAGATCAGTATTCAGCTATCAGTCAATTGTAGATAATAATAATAATAATAATAAGGCGTTTTTGTTGACATAATGTTTATGCTCTTAATTCTCAGAAAACAGATTTTAAGAAGATGGAGAAAATTTGTAGCTCAGATAAATGAATTTGGTGAAGTTTTATTCTGTAAGCTCGATAATTTATTTGTAAAGCTTTCATTGTTCCCTCTAAATAGCATCGTCAGTATAGAATTCAGTTAGAAGTGAGGTATTTGAATTAATCCACAGGTTATCTTGTCGATCTTAAGGTTGGTTGATCGCTGTTAACTTTCAACCGGTCGTTGTCTACATTGTTATTTCGATTGGATCTCTCCTAGCACTTAAAACAATCAATAATCAATAAAGATATCGAGATCGATCCAAATTATCAACCACCTGGGTAAATCATGGACAAATACAGGATCGCGAATTGAGTGGAAGGTCAGAAATAACTAGTCAGGATTAAGTTCGAGAGGATAAGTTTTCAGCGAATCAATTTTAGTACCTAACTTCAATCTGAAAATCAAGCTGATGATGTTGTTCATAAGAACAGCGAAAGCTTGACGATTAACCCATACTATTGAAAAAAAAATAGAGGATGACGTTGCTCAAAATCCTTAGATTGATTAGAGTTAGACATTGACACTGTTGGATGCCGGTTCAGTGGTCCAGAGGTTAAGCGTTCGCACACAAGACCGACAGTCCTGACTTAGAATCCTGAGAGTAGCAAGTGCTGTGGATGCACATTGCTGAAATGTCTCATACCAGGACGAAACGGCCTTGACGTAATTCCAGGTTTGCAATGTTGGTCTAAAGATGCTTGATTCATGATTTCAATGTTAAGTTCAAGTATTTGACTAACAATAGCAACATACTAGTCAATTATAAGGGTAGTATATTTATTGTTATTTTACGAGCTATCAAATCAATTTAAACTTAATGTTAACGCTAAGAATGACTGATAAAAATTATACAAAAAGATGGCTCAACTCCTATCAATACTGAGATAAATATTATACTATTTGAACAAATTAGTGATTATCTGGTGATAGTGGATCGGTGGATAACTCTCTGGACGTTTAGAACAAATGATATTGGGTTTTAGTCTCAAGATGGAAATCTTCTTTGGGATAAATGCACATCTAGCTGATGAGTTTCATAAAGGACCAGACTTTAGTTTTACATTTCAAAGCCCGCCGCAATTTGGCTTAACCAACATAGGTATTATCAAGACGATCCTTCAGTCTGTAGCAAATCATACTCTATCAATGTTCAGAATTTTATTCACACCAGTTTCATATCACTTGTATGGTTTCATATTCCATCAGTTTCTCCTTCAGTTATTGGTGACATTTTTAATCCAGGTTAATTTTATGGTGTCGGAGAGCCCCAAAATATACCCTGGATAAGTTTATAGAGGTAGAGAAATGCCAGTAAAGGTCTCATCTATTTGGCATTAAATAGAACCTTTGCATGAACATCCGGAATCACCTGTGTTATGCTAAATATTTGCCGAACCACTACTGTGTTTGGTAAGGTTCTCGAAGCCAAAAGTCATGAGCAACTATTTAAGTACCCTTAATTATTTGTGCATAAATGAATCTCAGAGTGAAGCGCTCTTCTCATTCTTTTTCGCCTTTTTTATTGTATTCAAGTTGTAGTGTAGATTTAGTCTGGGGTTATTACCAGCGAGTAGGAATTATATCCAGCTTATATTAAGCAGACTTATAAGGTGTATTATGTTCTCTTAAGTACAGATAACTCTATCACAAGTACATCTACTGATGTACCAACAAGTTTTGATGAATTGATTAGCTTTTATATTAGATTTTAGTGTTTGTTTTAACTGACTTGTCTTCAAACCTGAAGTGTTACTTTGTAGTCGTTAGTCCTGTCTCTTACAGACTGATAGATTTAGTCGACTAAAATGTGATTACCGTTGTGACTGCCCTTTTCCTCTAAGTCCACTTGGACAGCAGTTAGTTGTTAAACAACACTAAAACCTGTTATATGTTCTTATGCGTAAAATTGTGAATTTGGTTGAATTTGTTATTAATTGATTTCGTAAGATATTTCCAAAATATCAAATATCTACGGAAATTTAAAAGAATGCTTTTGGAGCATCATCACAGTTCAGCATTTATCTATAGGCAGTTTGAGTGACACGTTCCCGTCTCGTTTTTCATTAGGTCACAAGAACAAATTAGATTATATATAAACTTTACTATAAAGCGTAGGCGTTTGAGAATATTATTTTATCTTTTGGCTAGACTGACAATTGGCATGAACAAGCTAATCTGATTAATCAGTCGGAAATTTTGACTACTATAAAAACTAAATGAATTGAATGATGACACGTTTGATTATCTATCTATCTATCCATCTTTGTACTGACATTTTTCAGTTAATCGATCAGAATCAATTCAATTCCGCATTTATTTTGCGCGAAGTTCAAAGTTTAGTGACAGCTAACTTTCAAGTTGTTGTAAATGAAGTAAAAATTGACAATTTCGATCCGTAAAATGTTTGAAATGGAAAGGTTTCTATTATGCTGACGAAAGATGAATTTAGGATGGTGCTTAAGTTAAATTACAAAAGATGCTTGCTCCTATATCAGATTTTGCTACAATGTTTGATGCCAACAAATTTTTAGTCACGAATGTTTTGCACAGTTGATTAGTGTTCTCTCCGTTTAATGTTTACTCTAAATCTTGACGCTAAGTTTCCTAAGTTTGTAAACAGAAAGGCAACATACCATCGCATCGTATCTGTTGTCATATCGGGATGAAAATTTCAACTACAATTTATCAATCTACTTCATATTTACAGCATAAATCACGTTACTTAACTTTAACTTAATTGCATTATAGCTGGTGTCAGCTGATGATAAAAATTTTTCGAGTCATAACCCATAATCACTATAAAGAGTAAGTCGATATGCAAGGATTAAATACTTAAATCATAGTCGGATGTAAAATGCTTACATAGGAATAAATTTGTTCATTTATTTTATCTTTGTGTTGTAATTTTGAGCGTAATACCTATATATATATATATATATATATATATATATATATATATATATTCGTTATAAAGAGATTGTTTTGATAACGATATTTTATAATAAGTTTTTATAAAATACCTAAGCTTTGGCTAGCAGCGGAAAACAAGACGTTAATTTAATCCTATTTGTGACTCGTCAACTAAATGATTCTAGATGCTTGTGGCGTCTATACTGAAACTCAGATTCACAATTCAAAAACACCTGTTATACAAGTCAATGACTATTTTTACCCAGTAGCTTAGTTAATAACATGTTACTAACATGTTGTTATACGGAAAGTGATCAGTTCGAGCCCTGATGCTTACGTCAGCAGTGAGATGAAGATAAATATGGTTGAAGAGTTTCATTGGATTCGGCTGTGAGCCAGTATTCAGCTCTTTTTAATACTCATTCATACGGGGTTTTCTTTTCACAAAGTGGTTGTGGTGTAATACACTAAGCAGATTAAATTAGTGTCATTTTTGTTTTAAACAGTTTATCGAATTAAAATCCACTTGTAAACAGGTTCAGTTTATAAAGATATGCGTTGATATTGGCTTTATTATTCAGTTTTATTCAAATAATGAACGCACTTTTGTTAGACGCCTTGATATGGTAACAATAATTAGTTGGCAAATAAAAGTAACCGGTAAAATTTATTTTTGATTGCCTCCAATCCTTCTGGTTAAATTGAATGAATGATTTAGGATACCCCACTCAATAAGGCCCCTTAGCTACGGTTTTATGAAGGTATCTAAAGTGGTGTGTTAGGAGACGTGTTATTCCTGAAGTGGTTGGGAGCAGTCACCAAAAAAGCCTGACTGGATGCAGGTTCCATAATAGTTGGCTTTCGCCACAAGCTATTATCAGCATTCATGAGCAAATCGATGTTTCTTATGAGATTCAAACTTTAGTCACTTACCATTACATTTTTGAAATACTATCACCACTGACTTCCTGAAAAACGGAGATATTTGCAATTGGTTGATGGCTGAGTTGTGATTAACATCATCTTTGTTTAGTATTTTAGTGCTGACTGAATTTCATCGGTTGTCATCACTTCGTTTTTAAGACAGTGATATTTTATTGAAGACATTCGATCGCTGAAACACTGGAACGTGTGTACTTCGGCTCCGCAGTTTAATGTGTTTTTACTGAGCTATCCAGGTAAAGATTTCGATACACTGAGAATATTGGTCATACAGTTAATGAATAGAATATAATTCACTGATCACTTAATGACTAAACAAACATGACGCTGGTCAATACTCAATAATCAGTTATTGTATATACTATTTCCTCTATGTTTCAGTTTCAAAGTATGGTAATTAATAGTGAATTAATAGCTGAGTCTGTAGGATTTTTTTTATCGTAAAGATGAAGTTTCACCATATCAAAAGTAAAAAAGCTTATTACAAATGACATTGGATGATTGTCAGGTTATAACACAAACTAATTAAAATTGAAATAGTACCAGCACCCTAATGACTGAACATTCATGATATTACTTCTAAGTAATCCTATACTAGGATGAAACAGTTGTCTAGTGCTTCCTGGTTCGAGACAATTTTATGCTATCAAAAACATCAATGGATACAGTAAGTAATTTTGTGTCAAATATTTCTTCTAATGATTTCATCGAAATTTAATTATTATTGATAAATTCATTTATTAACTAAATTAATCTGTAATTTTATTTTATTTTTTCTTAAATTTCTTATAGGAGATAGAGTAATTACATTGAATGAACTTCGTAATTACTTATTATTGCATGAAATTCATTTTACACATTGAATTATGAAAATTTTCATATAAAAAATAATTTCAAACTATCATCACATGAATAACACAATTTAATCATAGGAGTTCATTAATTTCATCATACATATACGACTGACTGATTGAAAAAAATATATAATAACTTTTGCACCAAGATATAACTGTGGCTCACAGACATATATATATATATATATATATATATATATATATATATATATATATATAACATTCCATATTTTATTTATGTACATCTTGTATAATCTTATTTAGTATATAAACATATACCTCATTATTTAAAAATCATGTTCATTGAACATTTAACGGAATATATATATATACATCTTCCTTTTGTTTAAATCAAAACGAAACAAATATCAATCCTTATTCATAATACATTTATTCTTCTTTGTATTTTATTTCTCTTATTTAATTTATCTCTTTTTTTAATAGTTTCATTTTAATCAAGTCTTCACTATTTTAATTTTTGTTCGCATTAAAAATTTAGTTTATTTCTCCTGTTTTTTATAAATCCTGTCTAATATGTACTTTTTTTCCTCTCATTTATATATGTGTTGATTGAATAATCTTACCATGGAACAGCTAATGACATACACACCCTACCTGCAATACAATAATGAATGAACAATATTACCAGTCATCCTAAATGTCATTTTATAAACGACTATATATATATATATATATATATACATTTGATTCCTGAATATTTTATTGCGGTAAATAAAAAACATGCGATCAGTGTGAACCAACATTTTGAATCTATCTTTCTCAATCACATATATTACATTTATTTGTTATTCTTAATTCTTTTACGTAATAAAAATTTCATTAATACTGTCATTAATCGGTAATGGTGATGAAGTGAACAGTACAGTTCAACCCTATCGGTTGTAGGCAGTGGGTGAGTTTTTGCAAAAACCTTTAGACTGATCAGATTAAGTCAATATCTAATGCTCAACATGTTGACTATAATTGATTTGTAAAACGAGTGTCAAATACTTCCTGGGTTATAATGGTCAGTTGACCAAAATGGATTTATGACAAACTGCAAAATATGATTAATACTAATTGATATTTAGTAAGTAAACAAATTTAAGAAAAACATTAAAGTATAAGTAAATATTGTAAAAATAATTCAATGATACTAGTAAATAGTATGTATAATTGTTGTTTCAACAATTCTTGACATAATCCATTGTATTTGTCCAATAATATGATAGATGAATAGATTATTATTTCTATTGTTATCACTGGCATTATATTGATACTTGTTTAGTGTAACGTTTGAATTTGCTATTTGTTTTACAACATGATAAAAATGACATGAACATCTTGCGTAGGCATGAAAATGATCAAGTCTTGTCCAAGTGATTTGATGCGTTGGAATGGCTGACCAATTGTATTTTTTGATCCCGCTAATCAGTTCTTGATTTTTTTCATATTCATGCATTCGCATTGACTTAATGAAATGGAGTAGGCGCAGAAAGTGATTAAAAACACATTAGAAACAATCATTAAAACAAGATTATATTCAAGGTAATAAGTTTATGATTAGACAATGTTCAGTTGCTTCACCATGTAACTTGTCAGCTAGATAATAAACAAATTTATTTACAGCGCAAACCGATTAACATTAGAAAACTATTGGATATTTAGAAACAGTGGACAACAGTTTCTTCTTCGAATAAGACTGATCGGCAGCGTGGATCCGCAACCCTACAAATGGTAATCGGATCCAGGACCTTGGAATTGGCGCACGAACGCTTAACATATTGACCACTGATTCATAATCCGACGGTAGTGATATTTAACTAAAAAAATTCAAGATACTGGGTGATCATTTTCCATTGTCTTCGTTGGATAACTTTTTCACACCCAACACGGTTGTGCTCATCTGGTCAAGAGTTCTCACTAAAACTCGGTAAACTTTCTCTTGAAGTTAGTCATCAGTGAACACATGATAATTATCAGTATTAAATTTATGGAGACTGCTAATTTTTAAAAAATTACTGATGACAAGTTAAAATTCATGTGTTTAAAACTAATAGTTAATAATGTCACCTCTGAATAAAATGATCGTAACGCAGTTGATAGAGTAAATGATTATCCAAATTACTTAGAATATCAGTTTGTTACATTTGGAGTAAGATGGTTCTTAAGAAGATCATGGATGAGTTGGTTTTTTGTCTTTGTTAATAAGTAGTAGTTCTGACGTGCAAATTAGTCTTCATCATCTAGGTCCCTGATTATCATTTGCAACAACCATATTAATCTTAAAATCACTAGTCAGTCCAGCAGTCTTTGAGGCTACACCTGACTTCCTACCAACCAACTCTTACACCAGCGAGAATCATGCATCACGGTATGCGTTAGATGGATAAACATCTCAAGGATACCTCGCATATGTAGTTACTTACCCAATCCATAAATGGCAACCCATCAACAGGTGTGTGAAAACCGGCGGAATGATCTTTGACATATACTTTGACAGTACTGAATACCTTTCTGCATAATAATAAAAACAGTTACAACAAATGTTCTTTTATTTATTACAAGTGTGCGATATGATATAATTTCAAACAAAGTAATAAAGTGGTTGATAAATAATCATGAAATCTGTGTCTCGACTCATTCTGTTAACAAAACAGTTCTCTCTGACTAGTGAGCTAATTGAGGCATGTATGGTTTGTAGGAATTGTTAAACCTCGGTAATTTACATCAAGGTCAATAAAGCAAGTAGACAATGAATTGCTGTTTGTGAGTATCCATGATATAACCGAGGATCAAACCCAGATCCTTTTGATCTCAAACATAACGCATAAAATTTAGAGTCCATTTTTAAAATCTCTCAAACACTTTCATGGTTTTTCTTTAAAGATTTTATTTAATGAGAAAATAAAATCTTAACTCTTAACTTGATTACAAGAAATCATTATGAAGAAAGACCAGCCTCAATTTAGGAGCCTGTATATTCTAGTTCGAGGAAAGTTGGAATATTTAGATAGTTATCATTTAGATGTTTCATTGAAATTTAATTGGTAGGATTTTATCGATACTAAAGACTAGACAAACACAACATTAAATATTTTTTAATGATCAGTAATTGTCTTTCAGTGTAAGTTTCTAACAAATTATTCACAATTTCACAATGTCTTGTTCACAATCAATCAATATTACTTGAGTGGTTAAATATTCTGAGAGATAAAATGTAACATACATAGCACTAAATAGTTTCAACAAATATTTTTAATCTTTAAACTGTAAATAATCTCATTCTGATTGATTTATGTTTAAATACAATCGATTTAATCATGTTGTAAGCATCAGTTAATTGTGTGAATAATATAAAGTAAATATAACTAACTGTTTATTGATAAATAGTTGTATTGTTTTTAAATGATAATCATTTAACCATCGTACACCACCCACAAATAATAAAGCTTCATTGAATGTTTGTTTAAACCTGTCATAAAGAGAGAGAGAGAGAGAAAGAATGAATCAGAGTGCAAGTGAGAGTGAGGAATGGAGGTAATGTGTGTAAGCAACACACAACAAGAGAGATCTAATGATCACTGGAAGAAGCGTACTATGATAAAGAAGATAATGCTTAATAAAAATTCTTTTTAGAGTAAAAAAGTTGAGCCATCGATGACATAGATGACCATAATATGTGTATTATCAACATCAATAATCGCATCACAGTCCTCGTCCAAAAGGTAAGTCGCATATTTTCGTTTTTACTCTAAATGATGATGTTATCAAATTTTAAATGAACACAAGTTTGGGTGTGTTCATTTGCTTGTCTATAAGCACACAGATGATTCAAACTATACCAACTCCTCAGCTCTTCTATTGATCAATATAATGCTTTCTCTGATTAAGATGCACTAATATAAAGATAGATAGATTATTACAAAATTTAAACTTACTTAAAAAGCGATTTTAATAAACCAGTGAATGAATTATTATTAACTTTATTATCGAATTGTGGTTTTTTAGAATAATCTGGAAAATACGTAAATCTTGTAGTTATTGTTGCACTGTCAACCAGTGTTATTTGACCATGTGTTTCTTGAACATTGAATAGTGTTTTGTTTAAACGAATCAATAAAGAATACATTAAGCCGCGTAAAGTTGAATCACCTAGAAAAAGAAGCTGAAAAAGGAAAATAAGTTTAGCGATAAGGATACTAATACATGTTTACATTCTCTGAACTTGGATTATTATTATTATTATTATTAATAAAAATTCGGGTCATTTCTACTAAGTGAAAATTTATACTACTTATATGTCTATTTAAAAACGAGCGACCCTTCTTGGTAAGTAAATAGCTGAGGTAGGAAAACAAGGTAGTATTGTACGAATGAAGTACTTAAAAATTTCAACTACAAATTAAACAATTATGGAATAAGCACATTCTGATAATGGTTACCTGTTGAGAGTAGGGTTTTCGGCTTTCGTTATTTAGTATCCGAAAGTTAGATGAAACTAAACTTTAATGACTATATTTCCGAATATGAAAGCCTCTGATGAATATTATTGAGGTGAAGTTTAATTCTAGTGTCGAAATTAAGCAATCTCTAAAATGACTTAAATGATCTTTCGATCCGTTGTGAAAAAAATCAGAGAAAAACGTATATGAATAATTGTAATTTTCTTGAAATAAATCTGTCTAGTGCATCTGTAAATTTTTCTGTCAGTAATATTCAAAAAAGCTGTTTAGAGCTTTCTTTGAAATTTCGAACCCTTGTATAAAGCGACTTTAATCGACTGAATCAACTGTAGGTCATAACATAACATGTGATGAAATAAAAATTGAATTGCAGGCAGAGCAAATAGTTAACTTGACATTTGTAGGCATTTCACACTATCTGTGCTGTATAAACATCATCATCGTCATCACGAGTTATAACAGTTAGGATCTTATTTTATTATTATTATTATTATGGCGGTGTAATGCACGTGAAATTGAAACTGTTTTCGTTTGATTATTGTTATTGAAAATTTTTTTTAAACGCAAACATCTAGTATTCAATGTGACTGCTTTTTACGATAATAAATCAATCATAAATTCATCACAATAATGATGGACAGATAGAGAATGTTATAATACTCTACTTAAAAAATATATAACCATATTAAAACTCTGGGTATCTATTAGAATATGAAATTTCAAATTGATTCACAATCAATTTTAATTGAATTTTACAAGTGAATTGAATTCGTTTACTAATTCATTGAACAGTATATGGTTTCTTTTCTTAAATACTGATTTGCATTACGGGGTTGTGAAGATTCTTAAGTTACACATTTTTGAAACCATGATGTTATTGATTAATTTGTGAACGATGCATGATAGCTTGAATTCGATCAATAAAAAGATCTTGAATTTCCTGTCGGTACTGATTCTCAGCATCTTTGTGAACCCAAGAGCCATAAGTAGTATCACACAATTGTTTGAGAAGTTACTGATTTTAGTTGGTCATATAGTAATTCATTATGTTTTGTAACTTAATATTCATTAGTTTTTGAACTCTACCTATTCGACTTAACTCCGCCTGGGGCCCTTCTGATGTTTCTGTTGGTCCCACGCCCGGATAAGGGAGGAGGATTGTGCATGGGTTAGCGACCCCATCCAATAGAAAACTAACTCATTAAAAAGTCGCTAACCCGAAAAATACTAGTCAGTGACCGATTCTCCATTAGGGGTAACAGGCGTTAGTCAGTAAGTAAGTAACTTATCCAATTTATAGTTTAGTGATTTGGCTTTAATGAAGCAATTTTTCACAAAGGTTGTTAAAAGATAACATGGAATGCCATCTAATCGACCTCAGTATATAAACATTTCAGTGAGAATGAAAAATGATGTGTTTTCATCCATATCGAGTTTGTGAATCAGTTATATCCGGTAGAAAATTGGAAAAACACAAAACAATCGATTGAATTGTTTAGAAATTTAACTCTTGTAAATACTTTTCTTCACTAGACCTCAGAACATGGTAAGTAGCCTCAATAATATTTCATCATTGAATTTATAGCTGGTTAGCCAAAAAAATAGTGTAGTAGTCAAATTCATTTTTAGGACAATGACTGAAGATCATGTATACTTCTTACCACACGGTTTTTTGAGTAGGTTGTTAACGTATTTCGATCATTCTGAATCCTTTTCTTATTGTATAAACAAGAATAGATTGGATTATTCGGTTCATACCATAGTGCATTAGACCAATCACAATTCATTTTATTATTACAACTTTTACAAGGGATAAACCATACAGAATGTGTAATCTGTAATCTCTGAGCTGGAAAATAAAATATGAAGACAACTAAAGTATAGATAAGAACATCATTATAATTTTATGTGAATTACTAAGATGCACTTCAATAAATTTAATCGAAGTGCAGCTGAGAGAAAATCAGTAAAATGACTGATGATTAGAAATGATTTGTATTAACATAGTAAACAAAACACTGGATAATTAAAGTTGTATACAGTAAATCACCTCATAACCAAAAGAACTGAATTAAAAAATCTGTCGGTCATATAGATATATATATATATATATATACAAAAGCTGATTCCAATTATTTCTAAAGAAATAAGAAACTTTTTTGCCTGTTTATACTTTGTTTATTTTGACAAAATATGACTCCCATCTTTTCTTTATATGATTTTATTGATATCAATGTTTGTATATGAGCTAATGACATTCATTAAACGTTTTTGTTGGGGATGTTAGATCCCCAAAACTCACTTGATAAAAGACTTAATTTCGGATTTTATTCATGGGCCGATCAGTTGACCTTGGGATCACATTTCCCACCAGGAAAATCCTTGCTTTGATTAGTTACTGTGTTATTTTAGTGTGCTAGTTTTGTGACTCTCCCAAGGACATTTCTATGATGTATAAATAAACGCGATTTGTGTGCTTGAGATCATTGTATTTGATGGGTGTTTGTGGAATACACTTTCCACGCTATATCAAGACTTTTCTCTTCAGTTGGGGCAACGTATCAGAGTAGCCTACCGTGTCACTGGTCCATTGTCTCGTTCGCGTTTATCGACTAATGTGAACCCGTAATAGTTTCAAGCATATCAAGTGACGAGCATTATAGTTTTTTAGAGTAAAATTTAAGAAGCTGAACTTATAGGCTGTGAAACTACTAGTAACATTATTATTAATTAAAACTGTGAACCAAATAAAGGAATGTACTGAGAGAATTAGAGGTCATTACAATTATATGAATTCCATTTTGTCATATTCTTTCAGTCAATTACAAACATTTTACGTAGCAATTTTGAAATAGACGTTGAAGGGACTGACTGCGCTGCTTTATTCATCGTTCACAGAGACAGATATTCAACAATTTTTTTAGCTAAATATGTTAAAAAAATGTTTGTTCCAGACAGAATCAATAAAATTCTAGCTGGATCAGTTGCTGCTAGTAATAAGAGTTTCAGTTATTTTGTTGTTAATATCCACTACTATATTTTAATCAGCCTTTTTGCAAATATTTACATTCTGTGCTGATAAAAATTCAATTCCTAATATCAACAACTGTATAATATGATCTCTTTTTACTAACGCTAAATGCATTATATCTATTGACCAAATTTGTGGAGGTCTGCACTCGTTATTTCAGTGGATAACTCCCAGGGCATTTAAAAGGAAGGGTGCTGGGTTCTGGTTCCAGTGTATGAACATCAACATTGTGATGGAGCTAGATCCAACTGACGAGTTTCAAGCAGAATGATACCTTTCGTACTTGATTGCGTTGAATGTGGAGGGGAAATTCACTGCGATATAGATCTTTGTAAGTGAAAAATACTAATATGGAAAAACAGTCTACTTGAAATCTACCAAATAATAGATATCAATTATTACCGTACGTAGTAAAAATAAATGGTTCTACCGAACCAGTCAACAAATCAAAGACCATTTAATTAATGGTACTGCTATATAAGATAATACACACCTCAGAAATCACCAAAAGCAGGTCTTAACGCGGCATCCTCAAATCGAAAGGAAAAAGTAAGAGCAAATAACTTATTGCATCGGTCATAAGAAGTGGACATCAGAGGAATGAATAGTATTTACAAACAACTTGAAAAAAGGGCGCAGGACAGAGTTGGTTTAGGAAATATGGTCACCGCCCGATACTCCACGACTGATAACAAGCGTAAGTAGTTAGGTTGTTTAGAACTGATATGAGTGATTTAAGTCTTTCATTGATGATTACAAGTGATATAGTGTAATAAAAACATCCTATTGAAGGGTTACTGTTTTAAATATCATTCTAGTTCCAAATGTGCCCCCATAATAACCGGCTTACTTAACAGTTACTAATTATATTCCTTTATGTGTATTATTGATATAACTTTGAGTAATTAACTGAATTTAGATGGGCGAATTTCTGAACTGAACATTCTTTGACTGTGGGGTGGAAAATATCATTTGCAACCTATAAACAAATTTATAACTTCGATTGAAACACTGCAATTATTTAGGTTTCATTATCTTTCTAGTAGAGAGTTCTGTCTATCTACGTAATAATAAGCCATATTCGCATTATGTTGTTTCAGCTGCTTAATACTCACCTTGTGATCCGTTGGCGAACCTATCGCATAACATATGAAAGACACACTAGATAATTACAAAGCGAATAGAACTGTACAGATATTTATGAACATTAGCATTCACTTTCAAATAAACGTGTCAAAGCAAATTCTTTTAAAACAAGTAATCACTTGCTTAACTAAGACATCAGGGAGTAATATTATTATTATTATCATTATTCAACTTTAAATAATACAACTAAACACATTACATATTTTCAAACCGTGTAGTTTATAATTAGATTATAAAGAATAAAAATAATATATGAGCGTAAGTCATCTTTTTAATCCCAATAGTACATAATTAGTACAGTTAAAACTCATAAATTTGCATGCATTGAACTAGACTTATATTCAAAATATTCATTTGAATACGTGCTAACTTTCTTATTCAAATGAAATTCACAGACAACACGTATATGGATCACTTCAATCTATTTACTAAACGTACGTATTACTGAGTGTCTGTTGTAATTTCTTAAGAATAAATTTTAGGTTATAAATAAGTAGTGATTTAGTTATTAGTATAAAATGCTTGTTAGACTTCAACAGAATTTCATGTTTACTAACTCAATAATTAATAATTATAATGGGATATGTAATGTAGTCAGTTTGATTTGATCACCGCTAAAGAACTGGACAAAAAACATTGATCATTACCCAATAATCAATCACTTGTAAGAATTTCAATCCTATATGAGGTTGATGGAATCCCAGTCGTAATATCTCATGCTCTGGTCCTGGCTGGTTCGGATTCAAATCTCGTAGGTAGCATCGGTTCCTTAAAGATTAAAAGCATGCCACATTATCCAGTGTCAGACAACAGGAAATCTATGGTCAGCGTTTCCTACCAACTGTCTACAATAATGAAATTAACAATAATCTAAATGTATTCACTTTGAAAGTGTTAAGGATTTTCTCTTTCTAAAATAACTGATAATCTCAATTATCCCTTGAAAATTTTTATGAAATAAGGAATAGGCAAGTGAATCATCATCTATCATAAACTGCTTATCATTATAACTGCTTTCCGATTGCTTATGAAAATCAGTTGAATAACTGGAATATGGATTATAAGTTAAGGGTTTCAACTTTCAGTGTATATTAGCAGCGTTTTAGCGTACATATTCAGTAAGTACAATAAAATAAGCATTTTGAATCAGAAAAATATTGATAAAGTTTGAAACACATGTTCTTACTATCGAAAATTAGTCATAACGTTTCCATACAGAGATCGTTACTGATGAAAGCAAGATATATATCATAGAATTTATTTGATATTTTTTACCAGTATGTATATCGATAAATATTGATGATTTATTCCACCGACTTGCTGTTTTTAAAGAAATATAATGTTCAGTTTAAATTTTGTTGAATATCTCATCAGCTGTATGATGAGCTGTAGTTTATCGTTCTATTGAGGAATTTACTGGACGAAAATACTATTGACTGATGTCTGTAGGACTAATGATAAACAAACTTAATTTGAAATATTACACGAATCAATATTAAATTTTTATTCAGAGACTGTAAATATGAAGTTTGCTGTTAAAGATCGACATAAGTTAAACAAGCACTGAAAACTGATCATCACGGAACAGCTATTTTTGTCCTCTTCAACAGCACAGATTTATGACCTAGTTGGAAATGGAAAAAAATCTTTTCGACTACTGGCGACACTTAGTAGCTCACATGCCCATTAGTTCTAGGTAGTTTTGTAATATGGTACAAACATCTCTAAATTTCTTCCGTATGTAACTGCTCTACATTTCAAAATGGATTTGTGTGAATTGTATTAAAAGGAATTTCAGTCCTGTTTTTTTCATGTTATCTATTCTGCCCATAAGTATATCGTTTCATGGTTTAACACTATTCGTATTTTGAAAATCAGTTATTCCGTCTCCAGATTTCCTACTTATTGTGAGCTTATGGTACGTGATCTCAGTAACTTTCAACAATTTCCACAAACAACTACACAAGATCACAAATTGTTTCTAGTTAGGAATATACTGTGTTGAGTGTCGGATCAGCGATCTAGCGTTAATCTCTCGTCGAGAAAATCGAAGATCTTGGGCGAAGCCCCCATGGGGTCGTGAGGTAGAAAATGGGGGAGTCTCATACTGGGACAAGAGGGTTATCCATTGCTTCCTGGATAGTCTAATTTCAGTTATTTCGTGATCTCTGTAACACGAAACATAACTTGGTGAGATCGTGAGTGTAAACTGTCTAGGAATGGCTTGTTCGAACCAAATATCTCTTAAGCAGTGTTTAGTGGTGTAGGTTAGCGAGGATTATTGAGAATGCCTTCCACTAACACGTCATTTGATAGTGAGGTACATAAAATAAAATACAGTGTCACTCGAGCACATGTAAATCATATTCATCTTCGAGACATTCGTTCGGTGTAGCAATACTATCTGTTCACTGAAATCGAGGTAGATCAAATGGGATTCCAGCGGACTAGTAACAGTTAACTCAACAACTAAGCCGCTATCCAACATCAGTATAAAAGAAGAATATTCTTTGGAAAAAATTATTTTCATATTCAACTGTTATTTACCCAAATTAAGAGTCCAGAAAATGATCAAGTTTCAGGCCATTAATTTGAATATATAATTGTATAACTTAAAGAGAATGTGATTGATAAAAATATTCTTCATTCGTATGTTATTCTTTTAATATGATGGAGGTTTTTAGTATTTAAACTAAACATAATAAACTGTCAAACATTCAATTTTATTTAGCGTAAATTTACTAGATTTGTTTTTGATTGCTTTAACAATAGCAGAAGTGCATCACGTTACTGATTGATTACGGATTTTTGCACATGATTAAATGATGGATTAGTTGATATATACAAAGATGTAGGTAAGCCATTAGACATGAAATATCTGTTATCGCAAAGATACATTACCTGTTCTTATAAACTGGTAATTTGTAAGCAATAAGATCATTCATTTTCTGATGGAACAATTTCGTCATACATTAGAAAGAAATATTACTGAGAAATTTAAGTAGTTAAATGCTATCATAGCAAAATGTTTTGAAGTTTCACATATAACGAATGATTCTGACATTGAAATCATGAATGAATCATTGTAAGACCACCATGAGAAACCTGAAGGCACTGAAAGATGGCTGTTCCGACCTGGTATGCGACTCATCAAAAGTGAGCATCCACAACTCTCGCTACTCTCACGACCTACAGTCTTGAAGATGAACGCTTAACCTCAGCCAACATCCAACGGTGTTAATGTTTCACTCTAATAAATCTAAGGATTTAGTGCAACCTCAACTGATTTTAAGCTTTTATTTAACCAAGGGAGATCTGTGGAATCTGAATGGTCTTCTCAATCTCTTCTAAACTCAAAACAATTAGTAATCGTTAGTCAGTTAAAGCGTTGTAAAAGTCATAGTAATTGTACGGCAGTTGATACTTGATAGTAAGCGTAAAATATTGGATAATGGAAAACATTGTAGTTCATAGTTAGACTTACAAATATAACTTCTATGTGATTCGTTTTCTTCTACATCACATGAACTTTACTTTTATTTTCAGAACAAAAGGTTTTAAGATTTCAATTTATTCAGTGATTATTTCATTATGAACAAAGATATTTTTATCATATTATATTCGTTTCTAATAACTGTTGATTCTGTTCTATGGTTTTCAGTCATTTAATATTCATTCACTATCTAGAGCAAGTTTAGGGAAAATGTTTCGTTATTATTACAGAATTATCGACTTTTACATGTTGAGTACAGCCATATTATCGATTGATATAACAGCTAGTTTTAAAACAGTTTTTTATATATTTCAATTATTTAAAACAATGTAAACACCAGACATTATCATGAGTAATTATTATAAAAAAAAATAAACTCTAAGTATTTCACAATGCAACAGAAAGTCTAAAATACACTAACAAATCTAATCCAAGTCAACACCTACGTTGATATTATTTTCAGTTGAAAAATGCAATTACAAACAAAAGTGTTTTGTAAGTAATATTGTTCTATTTTTATTTCATTTAATAAGACCTCCTACGCAAATGATTTTCGCATTGATTATGATCGGATCATTTAATGATTTAGATGTGAATGAATATGGTTATTTGAATGGAGAAGGTGAATATTGCATTATTATTATTACTATTATTATATAATTTCAGACATTATAAAGTCATATTTGTAACTGTTACACTTAATGTTTCGCAACATGAAAGGTTTTTGGTTAGGTTAATTATATGCACAGTCTTATTCAATCAGTGATCTATTGTTAATGAATTCGGGCAGCGAAACGATTTATATTTCCACATTCATTTCGGATATGATGCAGAAAATCATAGACAGTCGTACGACTATATGATTCGTGTTGCATCATGAAAATATTCTGTCTACTGAATGGTAAAGTGTAAGTATAATCGTCAATTACCTAATTATTCGGTGATATTCCATATAAATTGTTAAGTACAATACTTTGATAAAACATGCAAAAAATATTTCATTAGGTCAATATTGGGGATGTTAGATCCCCAAAACTCACTTGATAAAAGACTTAATTTCGGATTTTATTCATGGGCCGATCAGTTGACCTTGGGATCACATTTCCCACCAGGAAAATCCTTGCTTTGATTAGTTACTGTGTTATTTTAGTGTGCTAGTTTTGTGACTCTCCCAAGGACATTTCTATGATGTATAAATAAACGCGATTTGTGTGCTTGAGATCATTGTATTTGATGGGTGTTTGTGGAATACACTTTCCACGCTATATCAAGACTTTTCTCTTCAGTTGGGGCAACGTATCAGAGTAGCCTACCGTGTCACTGGTCCATTGTCTCGTTCGCGTTTATCGACTAATGTGAACCCGTAATAGTTTCAAGCATATCAAGTGACGAACATAACAGTCAGATAAATTTTATGAAGGAGATTCAGTATTTTAATGGCAAACGGAATTTTTTTTAGCTTAAATATTCCAAAATATAATTGACTACAATACTTATTGAATATTTGTTTAGTGTGTACGTAGAACAGATATGTTAGAATCAGTCAAACGGTTAACCTCGAAAATATCAACCCACCCTAAATATTTGACGAATGTGATGCACGTGTATGTCAGAGTTTTTGTTCAATCTAGGATGTGACAGTTATATTCAGCTAACGAGTTCCAAACAGTTCGTAACGCACGTTTACATTTCCACTACATGAATTTTCTATTAATGATCCTGTTAATTAGTGATTAATTAATAGATATTGTTAGACACGTAGCTGTCTAGGATATGAGTTAAAAATAAGATATCCATTGACAACCAGATGGTTGGTTTAGTCAAACCTCATTTACTTTTATCAGAAAGGATTGATGAGAGGAAACACATGTTTCTAAAATAATAATAATCAGTCTTAAAATGACATCCGAAATTTTAAATGACGTTTTATTTGTCTACATAACCGATAAAACACTTTACCATTCTTACCTTTACTATTCACAATTTGGTGAAGTGAACACTTTTCATCATTCATTTTGTCAATAAACGACTGAAATAATAACCAACCACCTGATTTATTCCATCCACTAATTGATGCATGGTCTTTTGGTCTAAAAATATTTTTAACATCCTGTAATCCACATGGCCTTGACCTATCGATCCAATGTAGACAGTTCTTGAAGACAAATAATGAAAGCGGATTTAAAATTGATAAAACATTAGAATTTATTCAGTTAAATATTAAATAGAGTTGGACATGAAACTATGGCTTAGTTAGTAGATTGTCGGCTAAGGTGATTATAGCGTTAAACTCTCAACAATTAAGTCATAAGGCTGAAACGCACCCTCATGAACTTCGACTAAGGTACCAAAGTGGTACCAAATCTAATTTAGCTCAAAAGAAAAAAAACACGAATCTGTACCTGTAAAATAAGTCTATATAAAGAATAGGCTTTAGGCAGGCCTTATTTTTACCACTCATTTTGAAACTTAATTTATACCATAATCCATCCGAGTACAAAATATTACTTATATGCTAGTCGGTTGTAAGTAGTCAGTGATAAATTTTCGGTCAGTTTCATACTTGACAATAACCAGTACCAGTGATCTGAACGGAACTGATGCTATCGGTTCGATTCGAACCCAGTTGCACTGTCTAATGTGTCATTCGTCTTACAGCTGAATAATCGTCGATTACTGACTAGTATCAATGTCGATTGGCGTAGAACAGTGGTAAAATTTGATAAAAGGTTAACCATTGAAGAGACAGGAGTGATAACAACTAAGTAATCAATCAATTCAAAGTATTCAGTGATTGTAAAAATTCCATCCTCTCACTCATATCATAATAACTATTTATAATCAATGACTTTGTGAAATAAATGTTTATCTGATAATTTTTGCAAATAAATTAAAATCAACAAGTGTCAGAAGACAATTCTAATCATGTTGGCATATATATATATATATATATATATATATATATATATATATATATATATATATATATAGGTATTCACTGAATTGTAGTAATAATTGGTAAGGAACTTATTCCATGTCACATGAATGATATTAAAAGCGTACTCTTTAATTTACCAAAATTGTATAGAATTACAAAGGTTCAATGTGTTTTTTTTAACTCTTAATAAACTGAACAAATGACGATAACAACAATAACAACAGCAGTACTGTGTTGTGTTGATTGACAATGAATTGCATTTATTACATTTGATTGATCAGTAAAATCGATTAATTTTGTAATGAATTACAATTCATAAATCATGTGTGTTATGATTATTTTTATTTTTTATGACGACAACAATATAATTTGGCTTTGAGTTAATTGCACACAAATACCATGTAGAATATAATCAAAGAGAGAATAAAGCATGCTGATGTAAATATACTTTATTGATTAGTATTTTTATAAAAATAAATCAAAGATTTACTTAATTTTGGAATTTCTGTGAACTGAATTTTCAGTTGATTTGATGGTTTCTCAACAAAGCATGATTATAATCAATAGATTTCAAGTTGAATACATTGGAGTCAAGCTGGTACATCAAAATTTTAAAGATGTGAATTTTTTTCAGTTGAAATAAATGTTTCGGAGATAATTTGTTCAATGTCTAATGAGTATTACAGATTGGGAAATTGTTTTACTTTAGCACTTCGATGAATAATTAAATATGCTGTGAAATAAATCTTTATCTAATTTCCAAATACTATTTAAGGCAAACCGTTCGTGTGACAGGGTTGTTTAAAAGCTCAATGAATTTTATTCTAGACGAAGTTACTTCACGTATTCACGTAAACAGGCATATAATAAAGTTGATTGTGAAAGCTAAGAAAAGTGAAGTGGAGAAGGCGAGTGAGCCAACTACATGAGATGAAGCTGGAATTATTTATTTATAGTCATATAGAAATATTGGCAAGTGTGTAACCATCAAATCATGGAATCATTTTCCAGTGGTTAAGGTTTTCTGACTTTAATGAAATGCGCAACTTTCTTTTAATGTAATTGGTAGGCAACAGCTTCTCACTTGACATAACTTGACTGACCATGGTTTCTGGCTAGAACTCCATGGATAATCTTACGGTATTGGTCATCAGTGGACACGTGATTAACAATATTTTATAGAGTTTATAGAGAATATTTTACTTCATAGATTTTTCTCAGATTTCTAACTGGTTTTCAAACATCAGTAGAATTATAAACATACTGAATATGGTTCAGTTCAGTTTACGAATAAAAAAATAATTACTTGTAAGATTCATGGCATTTTTAAAACAATACAGTACTTTCTTGTCGACTAAATGCTACCACGGCCTTACAATACAATGATAAAAAAATTCTTTATACAAATTGTAATTAGAGGGTTGTGGAAGTTATTAAGTTCCATTGAAGTGGATGTGCACTGCTGATGAGTCCCGTACTTGAACGAAATGGCAATCCACCACTTCCACGTTTCTAATGATGGTCTAACAATGATCTATTCATAACTTTAATTAAAAAAAAGAATTACCAATATTACTTACTTGTTCCATTATGCATACTTTTAGCATGTGTTTATCAATTGAGAGATTTGGTAATGAACGTATAATATTGAAATGGACAGATTTCATAGAGTTAATAATATTATAGTTTGATTGTTCAACTCCTCCATACATTCCATCTAGATATAATTGTTTGTAAACAAATGAATCAATTGTATAACGCAGTTTATTCACTCCAAGACCCACACTGTAATTTACCCATCTGAGCGGCGATGATAAAACATTGGAAGAAAAATCATTAAATTACACTGTATTTAATTCATTGATGAATTATCACTTGATAATTTGTACTGATTGTTTTAGTTAAAATTACTTGATGAGTAGGAAATAGATTCCGATGAAAATGATCTTAAATATAATTAAATTTGATAGATGATTACGCAGTAAGAAATTTCCAAATTTGACAGCCTAGCTGAAGTTTATTTAAAGGTTTATTTGGAAATCAATTTTATTGGTAGGAAATATCACCTCACAACTTTCTTCAAATTATAATAAAAAGTCATGATTGGTGGAATTCAGATTATTAGGATTAGAAACATTTGTCACGAATATCATTGGATGAGGATCACAATATATTTGAAACTAAGCAAACTTTACGTTGTATCGTTGGAAGCTGGCCTGCTGATCCTAATAGTCAACAATTTGTTACAAGATCTGTAGCCTGTAGGTTCTATGTCTGATGTAATTGTGGGTGATCATAGTTGAGGCATTTGAAACAAATTACGAAACCTGCATTCAGAATTCAACGGTTTTTATTGGTACCTTAGATGAAACTAAACTGTTCCAAATAGTTTCAACATATTTCACGGTCAATTAGGAGTGCTTTGTGAGATAAGTGTTTATTGTCTCTGATTGCTAGTAAATTCTAAAACTCAACTATCTCTAGTTGAAACATACAGGTCGAACTCATATACATAAAATGTCTGTCTCTGACATGATTCAGTCGGCATTTTGTTTTCGAAATTATTTTTACTAATCAACTGCCAATGAAATAGACAACTGTTGATTTAAGGAAACTGAATAATCAGAAAATTCAAGCAAATTTTTACACAAAATTAAATTGAATTACTTCTATTATCCAATATTAATTGTTAAACATATAAATACATGGCTATAAATTTGTTCTTTGATTTTCATAAATTTATTTTTTTGGTTTTGTTAGTTGATCTACGAACTATGGATCAAAATTAAAATGTGAAAATGGATCAAACTGCTACAATTATTTTAATCAGACTTATTCATTTTGGGCGGCAATTTAAACAGTTGATTGAAACTTCTCGAAAACAATATTTTTTTTCTAGTCAATATCGATTAAAACAAATATGAGTACAGTTGATGTTAAAAAAATAATCCAATAGTACTTAAATATATATGTTATCAATCTTTGTTTCAAGAAAAAAACAATTCACTTTTAGACTGATCTAATTTTTCACATATCTTTTTCATAGTCTATTTCGGTTTGCCAATAACAATTTAGAAAAAAAAGAAACGATTCATTTCAATGAACATAATCTTGGTGTTGAATTTCATTCGCTGATTAGTTATGATATTATAAGCAGTGAATCGACTATTTCAAGTTAAATACAAAGATCTTATTGAATGACTTTTAAGAGGAAAATATCTGTACGACAAATATATCGAAATACTTTGGTGATATGAATTAGGGGAAATAGAAATTGTTCGTATGATTTCACTTGTGCACGTATGCCATGATCTATCGAAATAACCGGAAGTTGTGGAATGACGTAATAACTAAGAACTAACTGATTATCGATCGTTGTGGTGATATTTAACTTGATCGACATAATACAATCTAGACTAAATTAGGTAGACAAACGTTCCGAAACATTGACTACCTCAGTGATCGGTTAGTTGTTAATGTTTCAGTGTTTCAAGTGATCTGTCACATACTCAATAGTTCAATTGTTAACGTCTAAAACTGAGGATTTGAATAATGCTACTCGAAAACCCATTTGAAACAATGAATCCATTAATCATTCATTGTTAGACCACAATTAGATACCTGGAAGCGCTGGATGGCAGTTTCGTCCTGGTATGGGACTCATCAGCAGCGCTCATCCACGACTCCTGCACCTTACAGGATTCGAACCCGGGACCTTCTGTATTGTGCGCGAACACCTAACCATCGGACCACTGGGCCATCATCCAGCGGTGTCAATGTCTAACTCTGATTGATCAAGGGATTTTGAGCGACCTCACCCATTTGTCTTTCGTAGTTACTGCCTACACCCGTCAGGGTTGAACTCCATTGGTCACGTCTTCTCAACTAGAACTCCGAGAATTTCCTCACGAAGCTAGTCACTAGTGAGCTCTGTTACGATACTTTCGGGCAGAGTTTTGGAGGTTTGTGTTTTTACACATTTAAAATCATCAATGGTGGTCTAACAATGATTTATTGATGATTTCAAATGTGTAAAAACACAAACCTCCAAAACTCTGCCGGAAAATAAATTCATTATTTAAACCAATGCCTTTTTTTAATTACTTTTAAGTATTTGTTAATCATTTATCAAAATGGTTAAAATATTTTTTTGCGATATTTATCAATAAATATTAATTCATATAAAGTTTACGTCGAAAACACATGTAAAGAATCTCACTTAGTGAAAATAGTTTGATTTGAACAATCACCTTGTTCAATGCGTAATCGAACACGAGCATATAATGTATTGTCTGAAACAGTGATATTGATTAAATTCTTTTTTCTCGCACTGAATTTGTCTGGAATAAGAGTAAATTAAAACGTACAAATTATAAATTTGATTTATAAATATAAAACATTTCATTGACTTCTTGGTTGGGAACTACAGGTTATTAGGAGTTATATCTGTACATTATTCAATAAGTAATGAAATAATGGAATTGGCCCAGATCTATTTTCGTTATTTACTACAAAAGTTACAACGATCACATTTGCTTTAATCGGTTTTCTTGATTGGATAAACTGCTGTTTATTATTGGTAGTATTGCAGGGAAGATATTATTGCCTGTTGTGTTTTCGTCAGTCATATTATTTAATTAATTAATGACGGTTTACACACCTCCTCATCATTAAATTCATTTCACTTTATTTTAATATGCTAACACCAAAGTTGTGAAACAACTTAATGGAAAAAGTTCTGAAGTTTGTAACTGATCTGAAGCTATATATACACTCCAAAACAGATTATGCTATCAATAAACATAATTGAATTGTTTTAACAAACAGTATAAGGTAACTTGATGAAATGTTTTGATGTAAGAAAACGGTTAGGTCATTATTCAAGCAGGCAGCTGCCAGTTCTCTGGTATTGACTAAATTCTGTCAAGTTGATATGTGACCAATATTAGAAGTTATTTAACATTGCATGCATCATGGAGAGGTGTTAAGTGACTTAGATGTAATCTAATGTTTATGTTTAATTTGAAACTTATCAAGAAGTAATATCTGAATCAGACTCCGTGTTGATGAATATCACTTAGCCCCAAACTTACATTCAGGACTTCCTACCGACAACCTTTATCTGTCAATCGTACTGTGGTGCTGTGGTGCGAACTACTTATAAGTAGTATATAACGTGAGTGTCAACGTAAAGTCTGGTAGCATAATATGGGGGGAAGATCAAGAAAGGAAGAGGTAGAAAACAATGGAATTTGTATGAAACGCATGAATAGTGACAATGGATTGATGTTTGGCAACAGGAACAGTCCAGTTCCATAGGATGAACTGATCTTTTGCAAATGAACGATTTACGGTATGGTTTTCCGATTTTACTGAGTAACTCTGTAATTTTCGTTCAATACAATTCGGTTGCCCTCACCTGTATTCTCATTCACTACAGTACCTCTTATGTCGCAAATCTTGTTCATAATTTTAATTTTTAATCCTTGGTTTTTAACGGTGATCATTGTATTTTCCTACTTTGAAACTAAGTAATATATACTTGACCTATATATAATTATCACGACATTATTGTGAGCAATAAAATTCCCAATTAGAGCTACAGTTGCTTATTTCAAAAAACAAAGTTTCGACATGTATTCATATCGTAAGTATGCATTTCAATTTTCTCCATTAATATTAACATTGTAATTTATATCATGTTGCCTAAATAATTGTTTGTTGGTTGGCAAACATCGGTAGGAGGCATCGAGCATAGGTTTGACGCTGATCAGTATTCGTTACCGTGATAAGATTCTGATCAAAAATATTAGAAAGTATTAATTCTTCTTATATATTCAAAAAATAATGAAAAAAATGAGTAGTTACTCTCAAAGTGATCGCATAGTACGGATATTTCAATTTCCTCGAATAGATCCATGATCAAATCTTTGTCTTCTGTAAGTTTTGTAGAAAGTTTATAATTTTTCATGACCGTATGAAGCTAAAAGTATAATTAGAGAATGAAATTCATATTATTTGTAAGTTATTTGAAGTAGTTGCTTGTTGGCATAACCAAATATTGAAAAAAGAAATGAAACCCATGTGATGACGTTGAGCATAACCCCAGTTATAAGTATCAAGATGTTTGACTCGATACTTTTAGAACTATAGGAATAGTCAATTTGTGGAAGAAAATCAAACCGATCACCGATTGTAGCAATAATTAAACTAATTCAGTTCATCCTGTACAAGGTTAGAACCGAAGCTTCTCAGCTCAAGTTAACTTAAAAGATTGTAGGAATAATAAAACGAAATAATCCGAAGTTAACGAATAAAATCATCCATTTATTATGCTTTATCTATCAAGTTTGTAAATTTGTTTTCACGTTGAAAATTACGAGTACAATTATTATTGTACTCTGAGGTAGACATTCCAAATTATGCGATTTCTACATGAATATCCGCTTAACATAAAAACAGCGTTACATTGCTAAATTGAATACGATAGTGAGGGTATTGTAGAATCAATCTGCGTCAGCATTTATTAATTGGTAGATCATTCTGTAATAACGGGTAATTGCATCGAACTTCTCGGATCGACGAACTACTTATCATATCCAATCAGATCTTTAAAACTGTTGTGTTGCATCACATGCTTAAGTGACATTTTGTATTGCCAAAGTGTAACTGTAATCCTATATATTTACTGGTTCTTACCAACCATTAATTCAGTCCTAACAAGTATTATCAGATATATTGACTAACGCTTATCAGTAGTATCTCATTATCAGAAGTCGTGAATCTAATAACTATAGTCATATAGATTTTATTTCTGTATAAAGTTAAAATAATGACAATATCTTATATAAGGGTGTAAAGCTAATCGATCTCGGCTTAATATAAAAGAACAACACCATTGGGAATCATTGAAATATTGTAAGATTTATAATGCTAAACCAACATAGAGTTACGCTTTAGTTGATTGAAAAAACAAACATCATTACCAACGAGAGCTCATAATCGGACAATCAAGATAAAATGAAAAAATTTTTTTGCGGTAAAGTTTGTAATTGAATATAGCATTCTGAAATTCATTCAGTAAGATTAAGTGGATGGATGGATTTCACAATCTTGGTAGAAGTATATGGCTTTTAGCCTAAAAACTATATTCACTTTCTTAAAGTTAATAATTTTTGCATCTGAACTTGCTTACAATCACTAGAGGGGTGTTAAAGGTTTACTTGGAAAAATTACTTTCATGTAGACTGAACTGACTCTTTGTTGACAAAGACAAAGCGAGATAAATGCTGCATGATATTAGACTATTCATAAGTAGTATGGATTTTGTTTTCAAAAATTGTAAATTTTCCATATCAGTTGAAGACATTGTGATGGAGTTCAGGACTTTTGCTGACTTCTGGACTGAAGAGCAAAGGAGAGAGCCACAAGAGGATTGTGAACGAATAGAAGTTCCGCTGCTGACTGAGGGTTAATGGTGCGGGGCAGATTTTAATTGGTCAAAGTAAAAATGTGACGACAAAAGTTAAGTTTGATCCTTTAAAATCAAAGTAAATCATTGTTTGGTCCTTTCATAGTATTTTAGGTGGAATATTCGAACACCTAAATTTTATTATTTAACAAATTAATTAATGAAAAATCTCTGTGGAAGCAGAAATAACAAAATTTCGTTTTAGTTAGAGTTATTTAAGCGGATAACTACTTTTATGGGAAATTGTTTGTATATGTATTTTTGATTACTTTCACTTAAATTGTAGATTTTCAAAGATTTTTTGTGGCATTAGGAAATATTTTCGTATTGATTTTTACTTAATAAAACTAATTAGGGATTTGGAATCCTCGAATGTACCTGTATGACAGATTGTGTATACTAAAGAATTTGCACTCAGTTTTGTGTTTCGAAGGAAAATTAGTTCGAAGTTTACGTTGGTGGCAGAATCTTAACATGGACCATATATGAACATCTATCGCAGTTATCTTCATGAATGATTCAACCTTAGGTTATCTTTTTTATTACAAGTTACGTAAGGTGACGATAATGAATGGTTTGCAATATCTATGGTTATTCCTAAACATTTTGGTGACAGAGTTGTGTTTTCATGAAGATGAGTAGAAAGCTTAGTTCTATATACTAAAAGATCGATACCTCTTGGCTGAATAACATGCTGATATAAAATCCAATCCGATGGTCTTCATTACACGTTAAAAATTATCTTATTTGTCCTAACAAGAACGTATGTTTCCACAACTCATACTATGGATCGGAGCTGTGATGAACTACCTACTTACTGCTCAAAACAATTGTTAGTTATTGTTTATATATATATAAATATATATATATATATATATATATATATATATATATATATATTTATATATATATATATATTACGATTGATCACTTAAAGTCTATTTAGTTCACGAAACCATTAATTCATCTTATAGATAGCTGCTTAGTAAAATACTCATATTCCACTGAATTCACTTATTATTATAAATGTAGCTATATTTATATAGACAAAGTTTGTTCTACTTAAATACATTGTTAGTAGGCTAAGCTCGTAAAAAATATAAATCTAATAAAAAGCCAATCTAAAGCTAGATACATTATGTACTGCTTAATTTCATGCGTAAATGATGGTGGATTAATGATCAATCACATTTGTAGCGAATAACTCTAAAAATTGTCAAAAATGCAACTTTGGCAAAAAAATCATTGACTTGACGTAATTCACAAAAAGAGTGAGTTACTAAAGAAGATTCATGATCACATTATTCCACAACTCTGATCATTGAGAAATATTTTATTTGAATGATTTCGTTGAAAAGAAAATTATCTTTATTTTCATTCCATGAAATAATGAATTACTTATAAATGATTATATTTATTGATCACGAATAAGTGACAACCTATCTTCTAGACTAAACTCCTTGAGCGTTTAATTGTTTGTTAAAATTTCTGTGAATAGGACTAATAGAGCTACGTTGTGGCATTTTGAATAGTTTGAAACGAATCACTCTGTAAATAAATAATAATCAAATAATAATAACGATTATTTCTAACTAATTAAGCAACTAACATGATGATTTTGTAACTGAATGTTAAAAAGATCCACTATCATAAATTTGAATTGACATTATCAGACATGACGAAAACGTTTTCCTTTGTCACTTAATAACACTGATTTTTTCAAGTAGAGTTATTAAGATCATTGTCTTTACACACTGATATCATCAACCAATCATTGTTAGACCGTCATAAGAAACCTGGAAGTACTGAATGATGGCCGTTTCCTCTTGGTATAAGACTCATCGACAGTGCGCATCGTTGACTCCTACTGTTCTCAAGATTTGAACCCAGAACCTTCGGTTATGTGCTAAAACGCCTAACCTCTGCATTTTAATACATAATATCACTGATTAGAAGGACTGATCATATTACAGATATTAAGTCCTTGGTATAGGAAACAATAAGAACAAGACATGAAGTATTTGTATTCAGTCCTGGATAAAGTCGACAGATATACAATGTCAATAATTCTTACATTAGAATGAAATGTCTATTCATTTCTTAATGATGTTTGTAGCTTGTTTAACTAAGATTAGTTCTTGATGATAGTAAAAGGAAGATTCAAAAATTCTTTACCCAGTTAGACTGAACTGTATATAAAAATAGTCACTGAATGAACTTACGCGAGTCTTTTTGGTTGTTGTTGTTGCTTTTGATGTGATATTTTGCAGAAGTCCGTCCGTTAACTTTCTATTCTACAATAAATTGTTATGAGAAGAGAAATAAAATGCAACTCAACTAGTATTCCATATACTAATTGTCGATCATAAGATATATTCAGTAAAATAATTATTTGTATTATTATAAATAGAATAATAATCCATTTTAATGCTTTTATTTGTCTACAAGTTACCCACATCACTACTCGATAATTAAAATATCTGAAGTTATTTCGCGAATAGGTAATACTATGGATGACCAATCAGAAAAGAGAAAGAAATTATACAGTTATCGCTCGGTTGTTTTAATTGGTCAATATGTTTATAAACGAATTATGCATAAATGATGAAGCAATCAATTTGTTTATCATAGGCCACCTTAAAAGTACTACTTATTATTCAGAATAATTGATATGGTGCATTTAAGTTTATATTTCCTGTTTATTTGTTTAGTTCTCTGAGCTGGATATTTTGGTTGTGAAGCTATCATTGTTCATCTGAACAACATAATCAGCACAAGCTTCAGATAGAAGTGAAGTATTCGACTTTCTCCACTTTTGACCCTTAGCTCGTTCTGTTAACCTCAATCTTGCTCGGTTGTTGTTGACCTTAAATCTGTTATTGTTTGATATTTTGTTTGGATCGTATCCCCCTTTGATCTGTTTCTTGTTCTTGTGTTGCCTATGATTTTTCTGATTTGTTGATAAATTTGGACAATGTCGATGGGTTTGTTGATTGCTGATTGACCTGAGTGCCAACCTTATACAAATTCTCCAGTTTACTTTGTGCTCTGCTTATCCAGTATTTCTACATTGTTCCAATCGAATGTATGTCCATAGTTGTCCGTATGCATTGATATAGACATTGAATTGTCGTGGCGTTCGACTGATAATTAGTGTTCACGTAAACGAAGGCTTATCTTGTGACACACTTTAATGAATTCAGCAATATGTGTCCTACCTGCCTCCGACTCTTTCTTCTAATTATTTCTTCAGCTAAAAACCTGTTTTTTCCCTACACATCAGGTTGTTGCCGATGGTGACTAAGCAACAGATCTGGAGTATCTGGCGTAAACAACTGTTTAAAAAACATTTTTATCTATTTGATTGTGGTTATTGTAGTTCTCCAAGTTTTCGCCTTATAAAATAGAAATAAGTTGATGTTTTTTTCGGAAGTAGTTGGCAGTAGGTAGTAGGCAGTAACTAACGAGCACAATGGGTGAGGTGGAGTAAAATTGATCAGAGTTAAACATTAACACCGTTGGATGGCGGTCCAGTTGTCCAGAGTTTAGGCATTCATATGCAAGACTGAAGGTCTTTGATTCTAATCCTGATAGTTGCGGCTATGCACTGCTGACGAGTTCCATACCATGACGAAATGGCTGTCCAATGCTTCAGGGTTTCGAATGGTGATCTAACAAAGATTCATTCATGATTTAGATGTTTATAAAAGAATTTTTCGGCACAATTTATGCTTAACATCAACTCATGCAAATCGATACTACGTTTTCGCTTAAACATACTTTCATATATGATAGGATTATTCCTTATTTTACAAATTCGATGCCAACAGTGTGAAACATTTGTTCATGGAATCAATGGTAAAGTAAAACCCATGTTCAGGTGACATCCAGGTCCTGATATTACTGACCATTGTCATGATTATGACTTAGTAGGTAATTATGTTATAAGAGTTTACTCTACTTAAATCATTTCAAACAGAGATTAAACAGCTGTTCAAGTTTTCATGATCTACTGTTTCTTGTCTGATGATGTTTGCTTTTGAAATAAACTGTTTCAAGCTATATAATGTAATCTGGTAAATTTGGTGTACCCAATGAGAAAAGCATAAATTTAAGACAACTACCAGATTGCAAAGGGCCTAAACCAATGTTATTTTTTAGAAGTACAAATAACTAGGTGTTATGTATCTGACTGACATACAGTAGAGCATTCTTGTGTTTCGGTTGCCTGAATATTGCGAAAAATCTTCATCACACAAAGTAATCAGTATAAAGCTTACTTCAAAGAACCCAGAGTGCAAAAATGTGCATTTCAATTTGGAGTCACTCAACCTATCTACCAGTCATATTCCAAGTTGATGGATTAAATTCGATAATCAGTAAAGATACAGTATCATATCAAAATGACCAAACATTAAACAAATTTAAACTGTCTACAGATAATTTAGTTTTTCCAGGTAATACTACTTTGAATTGGAGAAGAAGAAATTCTACTCATTTGACTGTAATCGCATAATATTGATCGATTAATGACGAATTAGGTATGCATTAAGTCAATTTTATTCAATGTTGTTATCGATTGACAAAACTCATTTATTTCCTTCTCCCTCTTTGTTACCTATACTCACTCGTAAAAATTTAAGTGAGAATTTGTTAGTAAAAAATGCATTGAAGAAAACGCACACAAAAAGTCATCTGTTGATTAGAAAAAAAATTTTATTCCCATGAAATATCAGTTAGTTTTTTATTACTTTTCTATAAATGAAGAAAATAAAAACAAATTTTAATTTATCAACTGATATAAATGTGAAAAAATATTCGAATTCAATTTGAAGAGAAATATTTTTGGTAATATGTTGATTTCAAAATGCATTTGGGTTATGTAAGATCAATGGAATTCTGTATTTGTATTTTGTCTTGATTTTATTATTCTCGATGTAATGTATTGTGGCGAGAGACTGAACGGAAGATATATTTTAAGTACTAAATGCTGAAAAATCATTAACGCTAAATGTTCAATACACTAGTCATTTGGGTGCAAGGCAGTTAGTCACTTTTTTATTGGATGTTAGTTGCATTATATTGGAAACTGAGTGGAGTTGGATGCGAAGACCAGTAGATACTGGATTAACGGTATAGTAGTTCATCAACCCTACGCAACGTGATTGTCCTAGGTTCGATCTCCTGTAGGAGTCGCATACTAGGACTAAACAGCCATCACGATCTTCCTGGTTTTCGGTGGTTATCAACACACAGTCCGTGATGTAATCTATGAGAAACTGTGAGCTATCTTCAAATTTTAGTCACTGAAATATTATTCGCTGAAAGACTATGATTATACTAAATGGTGAGATCATTAATAATCTGACTGTGAAATCAAGTTAGGCAGCGTTGAAAATCATTTAATGTTTTAATGTTTAATGGTGTTTTGTTGACAACTTGCAATGTTTAGCCAATCTCTTACTATCATGCAACCTAGTTTCAGAGTTTCCTGATGACTACCACCAACAATCTAACTTTTCATTGCATTTGAGTCATATGGACAAGTGGTGCTCAGAGTATAAGATTTGGTATTATTTAGTTTGTGAACGGTTTGGACTGTAATGCCTCCACATATATTCCAGTTCGCTTACATCTAACTTGGTTAAGCCCTTTTGATGAATTTATTTAACCAAGCCATTTGTATTGCAACAATTTATATGTACCATTCGTTCTTATTATTGTCTGGTTTGTATGAGCTCGCTCACATGACGTGTCCTATTTGTCATTTGACCTTGTCAACTATTCGTTGCTTTTATTCATGTGTGCCTATTTCGCTTGTCACAGGTCTGTCTTATATTTGTCTGACTATATAGTCTTAGTCACGCTCCATCTCTTTGAGTTGGATCATTAGCCTTCTCCAATCCATGTCGCATCATTCGTTTTATTCGCTGCTTCTCCACATCGCTTCGTATGATTCGCTTCAGTCGCTCATTCGCTCGCCAGTGTACACTACAAAATGGTGAGCCCGACGTCAACAAAATTGGCCACCACAGGGCTATGATAAAAAGATTAGAAGTGTGAAACGAAATATGTATAATAAATGAATTTGATCATAATTAACTTTCAGAGTATTTAATCAGGAGAAGTTATTCTAATTGATGGATCGAAAAATAGAATCACAACAGGATGGAATTAACTGAATTCTAACAGCAAGATCCACTAAACTGATACTCTGCTGACTGACACCAAAATAGCATATGTAGCATAGACGTACATATATGGTTCATCTAATTCATGAATATCTGCGAAAGTATATCAGTTTGTTTCAAGGTCCATTATAGTTTTGATACAATTACCTTGATCCATCAGGGTATTATATATCTGTGTGTTTGCGCCACGGGATTGATCTGTATTGACTTTGTTATAGTGCTAACACCTGGACAACGTCTGGTTATCTTCTAAACCAATGTAAAACTACCCTTGCCCATTAGGGGTGTATTTATATAATTGTGTGAATAAGGCAAGTCCCTTGATATTAAATTTATTTCTTTGAAAACCTTATGAGAACATAAACAATGTCCAATAAAAATGCTTTAATCAATTTGAATACTAAACCTAATGGTTGTGTATTACAGGTAAAACGATTTATTGATTTGTTTAAATAAATCAATTAAAATAACAGTAAAATGGAATAAGAATTCATTGTACTCCAGTATAAACTACGCAAAGTATTCAATAAGCGTACTAATAATCACGAATTGTTCAATGTCTAATTTATTAAGATTGAGTTTCTATGACGATATTGAACATTATCTACCTATACCATATCAACTTGACGAACGAACTAATTTCAGTGAGAGATATCCAAAACAACGTGATGGATTCGTATCAAAAGAATATTCTGACAGTATAAAACAAGTGAGTTGATTAAACATACTTTTATATTTCTATGTGTTATTACAAGTATGATAATAGATTTTGTATTAGACGAAAAAAACTGAAAGAAAAGACTCATTGGATAGTTATTCAGTAGACTGTTTTGTACACTCAATACACTGTGTGAGTTAAAACAACAAACCTTCCCGAGTTTTAAATCAAAGACGTAGAATCTTAAACTGCACTTTCCTTCATTTAGTTAATGCAAAATATTTTTTGACTATCTTTCAAACTATGTGTGATATTTGCTTCACTGTCAGTATGGATGAACACTGATCATTGATATAGATTTCATCGCGATCATGTGAACTATAAGGCCTCATCAAAACACAAATTCGTTTGTGTCCTCGGTTATTGCATGAGAGATATGCAACTGTGTGTACATTACCAGATAATATAGTTATCCATTCAACTCTTGGCGATCAAATGTTAATTTAACTGAGTGAACCAATGATTCAGTTTAAGATGTGTCTACTTAAAGAAAATATCTAAGTAGTATTTTACAAATAAGTGTTGAATTATCAACATACGTCACTTTTTATATGTTATACTATATGAATTTCGTTTGTTTGTTTTTTTAATTTCAAAAAACAACAACTACTACAAACGCTCCTTTAAACTCAAGGTTGATATAATTGCAATATTTTAAATTATGTAGTGCATGGAGTTGGTTTCTCTTAGACACTTGGCTCATAAACAGTTGATTTCTTCTTTGCCATTGTCGTTTTATTACCAGAGAAGAAAGAGATAACTAATAGTTTGAGGCACTATCTGACATGGTAAATTTACCTTAAGTTTTTATGCTAGGTGTCAACCAGTGTAACGATTAAAGTTAAAATAACAAAGATCTACCAACCATTATCATTCATTCATTAAAGGACTTATAAGCATGAGTGATTCAAGTAATTGGTATCTCATTAAAGAACGTAACTAATTGTTCAGCCAATTTTTAATTTTATGCGCTCCAAATGATTGTTATCAGACTATTGGCCTAATTATTAAAATACTGAAAATTGTGGAGCTACATATTCAAATATCATTAAGTTTACATATTTCAGACAATCAGATATACTCACAAGCCTTTTAGCGACATCATGTAGTTTACATTTGTATACATAAATATACTTAAATGTGTGTATTTTTAGAAAAATATACTCGATAAAATATGTTTTTTTACTTACTTACGCCTGTTACCCATAATAGAGCATACGCTGACAATCAGAATTTGCCAACTTCTCTGACCTGCTCCTCCCTTTTTTGTTCTGTCCAACTGTTGTTCATTCTCTCATGTCCGTCTTGGTTTTTTGGCACACAGTGTTGTTTGGTCTTCCTCCTTTCCTTTGGCCCTGAAGATTCTAATTGAGGGCTTGTCTAGTGACGTGGTCGGGTTCTTTTCTCGATATGTGTCCTATCCACTTCCAGCTCATCTTCCTGATTTCTTCCTTCACTGAAATCTGGTTTGTTAGTTGATGATATCTGTCATTACTAGTATTATTAGAGCTGAAATTGGGGTCTGACTTACCGTTCTGAAAGCAATGTGCTAGTTAAAGGACCTGAAACTCTGTAGTTTTATTTTCTGTTTCCAATATCAAGACAATATCAAGCTTGTGTTTCTCGATATTGACCTATCTAAATACTAATATCAATTCCTAGCAAACACTATCTATGTGTAAACCAACTTTAGTAAAAATACATCAATAACATTGTGGATGATAATTTTACTAAACTTTATTCAAGATAATCAGTACACCGAGAGAAATGAGAAGATATGTCCGACCTCCATCAGTCAGCAGGAATGTATCACGTTCACAATCAATAGCTCAAAGAATGAAACCAGTGAAACAGAAACCGTGTGAAGAAGATAGTGAGATACATCTTATGATGCATAAGTCTAGTAAACACTCAGAAATTGTGAAATCGCCCGACGAATCGTAAGTGACAATGACTTTTCTGAGTAAACATAATGCAAATTTTTTTATTGCAACTTCTATTCATGTAAAAGATGTATTCCGAATAAATTAGTTTATATGCTATGTCATTCAAAATCAAAGAAAATTATCATCTTTTTGGTGTTTCATGATTGTGATGGAAATTTTAAACGGTGATATCAGAGATTTAACCTAGTGACTGTACATAAAAACATGAAAAGAAGACTAGAATCATTATACAATTCTGAGACCAGCAATGACATCAAGAGTTCATAAAGGTTGATGTGTAGCAAAGCAATAAGTAGGCCAGTTAATAATATCGAAAAATGATGTGTCGTTTGTAAAGATAAGTAAGCATAAAACTATTGACCAAAATTTTAAAAGCACAAAGTTAACGTGAAAAGTTGTAAAATCAACGACTACTGTAAACGGATTACTTTCTTGGTAGTAGATTTAAAGACAATGAATAGTGCTACAAGAAGTATGACAAGATGAAACTTCAAACAAAGAGTATGAGCGAAAAGGTTCATTAGTGTGGTACCATTACTGACGTAAAATCCAGGACACATTAATCATGAAATAAAATTTAAGCTACCAACAAAACAAAAGTAGTATAAACATAATTACTAAAAGTGTAGACGCAGAATAAATGACGAGAATGAATAAACAAATTTGCATTGCATTGATATTTTGATAAGCAATTTGTCAAAACGCAAGCGAACATGGAGTAAATCATTGTAATTTTCCTGTAAAAACCTTATATTCAGTATTTAAACATAAGTACAGGCCATTTTAAAGTTCGATATTACTAATAACTATTGTTAAATTTGTTCCAAGATTTCTGATGACTGGTCCTCAGTTGGAGACATTTTTATATTTTCGAATCCCCTTAATTATACCTCCCGTATATAATCAGCGTAATCAGGAGTCAGTAAAAACGATCCACGCCCTATTACTGAGTCACAGAAAGCATACCTTTTAGTGTTCTTTAGTGATTACTTCTAAACATATTATTAATATACCTCAATGAATAGAGCCAGATTTTACCAAGTAGCTACAATTTAGAGGGCAGAGGATAAACGATAAACTGAGAACATCTTTTTAAATACAGTTTATGTCATTAATGCAATGTACAGATATGAATTTATTTATGACATCTATTTTCATAGTTTTCGCCAATCCATTAATCTTGTTCAATATCTCAATGAAAGTTGAATTTATTAGTAATGAAAACTAATTTCATTGCGATTTCTGCCTAATTAAGAATTTTATAACATTACTCGGTTCTCTTTGTTCATGCTACGCTGACAGTAACTTACAATTCACAGAGTTTTATTCGGATCCAACGTTGAAAAATTGATTTATTGTGCAAGTTGTTGAGTTGATAACAGAGATTCAACCTCAAAAATATGAAAAGAATCATTTTTATCATTATTTACAAGTTTTTTCTCAAGTCCAACAACAATTTTAGAATGCAACAATATGAATGTGATGCGAAATAAAGTTTCTGTGGTGATGTTCTTAATTTGAAGAATTTTCTGAAAAGGATGTCTCACCTTTTGTGACTTTTTATGCTACAAACAAGTGTTGTACACTTAACAAGTATTGAATTTAATGATAAATAAATTATAACTCAAACCAAACCATTATACAAATTGTTTATAGAATGAAATCACACTCAAATTAATTGCGAAATAATAATTCTCTTCTCACATATTTAAACATACTGAAACTATTTACTTTATAGAATTTTATTGAGTTTCAAGCTAATCCATTGAAAATTGTACTGTAGATTGATCGATGAATTTCAGTTAACACCAAACGATTAGCACTAAATTCTGATATTTACCACGACTCAGTGACCCAATTATCTATAGATTTCATTGACGTGCTTTTTCATTTCTACCGATTCGTTTCAAAATGTATTTTACAAATAGATTTAAAGTTAAACTATGCTGACAGATTTACTGGGTGTTTTTATCATCGAACTTTTTAAAACCGTAATTACAGTCACCAAAAGATGAATGATGGAAATCAAAGAGTTGAGTTTATTCCATTTTGGAAAACCTTGATATTATGGTGTAAAGTGGCTGTTGGAGATACTCGATAAAGTGCCTTATTCAAATTAGGTTTTATTTTGCTTGGAATTTGTTGGGATGGTGTACCAAAACCTTAAGGGAACTGATACTGCATGTGGGATTCGATCATGCGTCAACCTGCTATACAGTCAGAGGAGTTACCGCTGAACCATCCGGGACGTGACTAACTTCCTAAAGGACAGAACACTGGTTGTTACTCAGTGAGCAGTCTGTAAAATAACAACATTTATATTCTAGAAACAGTAACACAAATATGCTGAATAATCACTCAGAAGTTTAATAGGGATTCAGAATCTTATATTTTTTGTTGAGCTGATCAAAAAAATTTATTTCTAGATTGTGCAATCCACTTGTTACTACTCATTAGTAGTTTGGGTAAATGAAAAAAAATTACAAACATCTATAAAACAACACAATAAAACATGTTAGTTTAATCCTAAGTTAAAATGTAATTAGTTTATGATACATAAATTATCAGTAGCTCAAGTTCATTCCCCCTCTTCCTTTATCATGATCAGTTGCATAATGTATTATATGTAGTTTCTAGAAAAGACTGAACTAAGGTAAAAAAATTTATAGAAGGTATTTGTCGATATAGAAATCGGTTTTGTAAACATATTTGAAAATAACACAGGACACACGACTCCCGAATCTTACCGAAAAATCAAAGACCTAGCTGGAGGCATGTTTGTTTTTAATGAAAAAAAATCCTTGGGCATACTAGAAATCAACAAGCCTGGGTATAAAAGTTGTGACACAGTCCTCTAGAAGTAGCCACAAAAAACTGAGGAAACATTTAAAGTCCTAGTGAAAAATAAATAGTGCAAATACATATCTTTACTCCTTCCCATTGAAGATCAGTATAAATGATCGTTTTTAGCTAAATACCATTCTTTCAGTTAACTTATTTATGCTCTTTGAATTCGAATCCTAGTTGAATAGATGAATACAAGACTGGTAATCATTAAAAAAATATTAGTAAAAGAGAATAGACTATACTTAATATACCAGTGTCAGGATAGGCTAACTATCTATATCTCCTTCATATGTGCTGGACCACATGTGCACATCATTTTAGTGTACAAAATAATCTAAATTAAGTAAAATGTTTTTTAGCCTGATGGCTGAGTTATCCAATTTCCGTTCGTTAAGAAGTTAATCATTAACCGGATATGTACTTGAAGGCTGCTAGACGCTTTCGTAAAACTCTACAAAATATGAAATCAACTCGAAATCGAATAATCCATTCCTACTTTATCGGTTATATTCATAGTATTCCTACTGGGATCATTGTTTCTATTATGATTATAGGTATACTACATAAAGGAGTCTTAATTAGCACTAAATCTATGTTTAGGGTCTGCCAGTGACTATTTTCAATAACCTGATAATTTGTAGTTCCTCACAAAGATTGTTCGTTTACATAGTTCTAATTTCTTGAACTGCTTTTCAGCTATAGTAAGTAGCTTTCGCAATAAGCAAAATAAGATGAATTTGAATTATATTCTAATGAACAAACTGAATTCTGTTTCAGTGAGAAAAATACAAAATTTTTAAATTAAATTTACTCCCATCGGAAGAAACATACCTTCATATTTTGTTATTTATGATGAAAACCTCTGATTTGTAACACACTAAAAGCCATTAGTAAACTAATTCAAACTGGCACGAACGCAAAGTATATATACATATATATATATATTTGTAACCATTTCGTCGTTATTTCATTTTGACTGGTGAACAAGCAAACTTATGGTTTCTTTTAAGTTGATTTTTTACATGTGTAGGACAATATTTAAGGTTTGTCTGTGTAGTCATTAAGAAACGTTATGAAAAAAGCATTTGAGCATAATATATATGAATCTTCAAAATCACTTACGTACCTAGTAAATCTTCAAATATCTTACTAACTGTTTTCCATCGCTACTTTGTGTTCGCGCCAGTTTAATTAAGTTTAATGGATTTTGTTATGTTTCAAATCAGAGGTTTTCATAAGTACCTATAACATAATTTATATACATAATACTGGTTACATATTATAAGAACATTTGTAGGTTTAACTTTTCTCAGGCTTTCTCTTAATATGTTGTATTTAATTGTTTTACTAAATAATTATTGTTATTTATTGGGAACATTTACCAATGATACCGGTTAATTTAAACATATCCTTCTTATATTGTAGTTTTCTTAATGAAATAATATAATGAGTTTATATGGTTTGTTTATTTCATTATGTTTCAAGTAAATTTTTTTTATTTGAAAGCACTAACAACTCTTCGTTTTACATAGATAATATTTAGTTTTCATAAGAATTCTGTCAAGAAATCACAATCTGTCAGTAGCCTCTTTATAATAATGTGATTTATTGATGAAATCACATTGGTGTGTTGTTTTAACTAACTGTTCCATTTGTGAAGTCATTGTCCAAAAGTGTTAAGGGAATTATTTTCTCATCATGCATTGACTTGACATATTGTTTGCTTACATTTTTTAATAGAATGCTTTTCTCGCATACTAAGTTGACCATTAGAAAATATGATACTGATCAAATTAATATGTATTTTTTAATAGTAATCAACTATACTCTGGTTTGAACGTCTAGATTATAGTAAACTATTATCATTCTTATCTAAAGAAATATAAAATTGTAGAATGTCAAATTATGATTCATAATTCAAGCATTTTTATAATCAGTTCAAATCGAGATCAGTTTAATGAGTTGATCTGTTTAGAACGTTTGTTACTTACTTACTTACGCCTGTTACCCACAATGGAGCATAGGCCGACCACCAGTTTCCTCCAACCAACTCTGTCCTGGGCTTTCTTCTCCAGTTCTGTCCAATGTTTGTTCATTCCTCTCATATCTTTCTCCATTTCTCGGCGTAATGTATTCCTTGGCCTTCCTCTTTTCCTTTTGCCTTGAGGGTTCCAAATGAGGGCTTGTCTCGTGACGCAGTTAGGCGCTTTCTGCAATGTGTGTCCTGTCCACTTCCACCGCTTCTTTCTGATTTCCTCCTCCACTGGAATCTGGTTTGTTTTCTCCCACAGTACGTTGTTGCTGATGGTGTCTGGCCAACGAATACGAAGTATTTGGCGTAGGCAGCTGATAATAAACGCTTGTATCCGCTGGATGATGCCTTTCGTAGTTCTCCAAGTTTCCGCTCCATACAGTAGAACTGTCTTGACATTTGTATTGAAAATGCTGATTTTGATTTTGGTTGAAAGTTGTTTGGAGTTCCAGATATTTTTCAACTGTAGAAATGCAGCCCTTGCTTTGCCGATCCGCGCCCTCACATCTGCATCAAATTCACCTTGGTTGTCGATGATGCTGCCCAGATATGTAAAGGTGTTAACGTCCTCCAAGGCATCTCCATCAAGAGTGATTTGGTTGGTGCATGTGTGTTGCATCGGAGAATTTTGCTTTTTCCTTTATGTATGTTGAGACCTACTGCTGCAGAGGCTGCTGCTACACTGGTCGTCTTCTCTTGCATTTGTTATTGCGTGTGCGATAGAAGAGCCAGGTCATCTGCGAAGTCCAGATCGTCCAGCTGCGTCCTAACTGTCCAGTTGATACCGTGCTTCCCTCCAGATGTTGACGTTTTCATAATCCAGTCGATCACCAGGAGAAAGAGAAAGGGTGAGAGTATGCAACCTTGCCTGACACTGGTCTTCACCTCAAAAGAGTCTGTTAGCTGTCCTTCGTGTACTATTTTGCAGTTGAATCCATCATGAGGATTCCGTATGATGTTAATTATTTTCTCAGGCACACCGTAGTGTCGAAGAAGCCGCCTCCATAGTGTTTTCCTATCCACGCTATCAAATGCTTTCTCGTAGTCGAAGAAGTTGATGTAGAGTGGTGAGTTCCATTCAATTGATTGTTCCACAATGATCCGTAATGTAGCAATTTGGTCACTACACGATCAACCCTTACGAAATCCGACCTGTTGATCTCGAAGTTATATCTAACTTTCATGTATCTTAGTAACTGGGATGGCTTTTTATCTCCCAACTCACAGGACGTTAACAACTGTTGTAGCCTTTTTTTCGTCTGATGCAGAAGTTCTCTGAATCAATGCGGCTTTAATTTTATCGTATGGGTCGTTTTCAGGCACTTGGGCAATAAGATCTCCCACTTGTGCAGCTATGTCTATCGGAAGTGAGCTAACAACATATGCGTATTTCGTAGTTTGTGCGCGTATGTTTTTGGCTGTAAATAAAGCTTCAATCTGACAAAACCACATCCTAGGGTTGCTAATGCCAAACGCAGGAAGATTAAAATCTGAGATGGCATTAATGGAACTTAGGGTCTTATCTTCGAACTGTGATGTGGAGAAAGGATTAGCTGGGAGAGAGTCCACTGTAAGTGATTTAATACAAGTAAAGCCGTATGAGATAGAAACAAAAAGCCGAAAATAATAATAAAAAAATTATAGTAGCATAACAAATGGCATAAACACAGGCTCACCAATTAATTGTGGTGGACCAATCAATATATTATTTCAAAATATTAACAAAGTTATCGAATATCAATAAATGTATATTGAAATATATCAGTTAAATGCGATAAATACAATAAAAATATAAGAACGTTACTTTATGCAGCTACTTGTGCGTGTTCGATTTGTTCTGGTCGTATTTTACCACAACTAAGATGAATTCAATATGCCAAATGCTATGTTAATCCAAAGGTCAGTATGTGTATGTGACTGCAGTCTATAAAGTAGATAACATACGTATTAATTATTATGAATATAATCCAATAAGCAGATGAGAACTTCGATGGTATGTATAAAGTGTATTTGATAGTGTATACCGGCGAGTGCCGTGCTAGTGTACAGTGAACGGAAAATGGAAGCAGTAAGTGCGCCTGATATATCCAAGGTCACACACTTAAACAAAATGTACAACAATTTCATAATGAATGTACAAGCTGTGAAAATTAACAAAATAAATACAGATAGTATCAAAAACTGTTTACAAAATAAGTTTGTCATGCCATCTCCAAATACTACTAACTAATGAGTACACGAACGGTATTAGTTAACGAGATTTTTGAAGAATGTATTGTTTTCACGGTTGATTGTCATTAGACTTTAAAACCTTTGGATGTCAGCTTAGAAAGTTCGCACACGTAACCGCAGGTTCTAGGTCCGATCCCAGAGTTCTGAGCCGTGAAATCGCACTTCTGACGATGGTTATATAATCGTTACTGGTTGTTAATGGTGGTATAACTAAAACTAATTTGCGATTCGAGCTGTGGAAATAATACAATGCCCATAAGTCACCCTAACTCTTACATCAATACTACTAAGGATTATATCATGTCATATTAATTAAAAAAATTAATATCACACAAATCATTCATGTACCAGGATTTAATTTCACACAATTAGTTGGCTAAGAAAATAACTAAACTTACATAAATTCTAAACTGAACAACAGGACAACAGACAAGTGTTCATGATATTTTTCAGTCTTTTTTCATAACACGTGATTAGACGAAAGAAAATTCAGACTGAAACATTTCTTAATTTATCACTATCATTAAATAATTAACTGGAACATTTTCACTGTAAATTCAAATGATAAATAAACAATGAATTGACTGTAAACTTTTAATCGGTCAACACTTATGTACTTTGATATCTAACCAAGTAAATATTGATAAATAATAATTGGTTTTTCCAACAATTATCAGTGTTGTTTGATATATGTTTTCACAGTTTATTGAATAGCCGTGACCGGAAGCACTGACCTTTCTAAATGAATTAACGGTAAATACAATAACTAAATAAATGTTGTGCAAAATAAATATTTTGTTGAACTTTACTAATTTACGGAAACATTTGGTTATCAAAAACAAGTACTTTATTTGAATTGCTTGTCTGAGAATCTTCCCATTGCACTTAGGTTACAAGCATTATTAGCAGAGGTAGCTAATGGTTAGCAATGGTATTGAAGAAGCGCATTTAAGACTTGTCAGCTGGACGCACCTGCATCTCAAAGTTGATTTTCACTTCGTGACTCCAGCCTAGTACTGTTTGCCTCAAATGTCTGTAGTGGCTCGAGTCGAGATTGACTATGTACACCACTACAAAGCGATTACCTTCCTGCCACTAATCGTTATCCCCTCGTAAACCCAAAACAGGGAAAAAGAATGCATATATTTGCTGGCAATTTCTTAGTATCCTAAGAATACTGAAATCGTACCAAAGATAATGGAAGAAGTTACTACGAGCAGTATAAGCAAGATGGCAACTAAGCAGGCGGGAATCGCGCGTACAGAATTATCAATAAATAAGGGATTCAGTAAAACAATTTCTGGTACAATTGGTTATAATAATAAATGTTTCTGTTTAACCAATCGCTTTTTCTTCGTAAAAATTGAACCACTTCACGTTATCGAGTTATCCACCTAGCTATTGAGTCCAGATGGCCAATAGCTTTGAGTGAAGCTTATTTTATTTTGTATTTGTTATTTGAATGTAATACCATTGATTTTTAGCACTTCAAATGATCTGTCTGTTTGTCATATGCGTATTCTATGAAGAAGTGTTATAATTTACTGTAATCAGTTTGTAAAGATAATTTATTCACAATAAAATCATTTATCATGCTTTTTAACTGCTTACATGTACACAGAATACAAAAATCGATTTCTTTTCGAAAAGTAAAGTCAGTGAGTACGGATACATTAGATCTGAATCTAGACGATTATTTGAAAATGAAACATTTGGAAAAAGAGAACATTATTTTAGAGCAACAAAAAGATGTAAGTTTATTTTTTCAGTGAATATATTTTTTTTTTTGATAATTCTTATGAATAAAAAATACAACTTAAAAACTCTTAAAAAATATAAGAATCAAGTGTATCAGGAAAGTGTTCATGTTGATGTTGGTTTACATTTCAGACTAAACCAAGTGAAGAAAATTGCGATAAATCTGGAATAGTTATTGACCCACAGACTTTATCTAATTCAGTCAGTTCTAGAGTAAAACTTGGTACGTACACACATCAGTTCTAATTTCCAGATCACATTAGAACAGAGAGATCTAAGTGTCAGTTTGAATTCCAAAGAAATAAAGGTAGTAGAAGTGTAAGCAGTAATTGGGAAGATTAGGGTTTAAAAATATTATTATAGAAGGAATCTAGTGAGATAAATTTGAGAATTGAAAGATGAAGATCATGCTGAGTTCAGAAGATATAGATTTTATCTGATAATTCCTCAACAGAAATGACTCACAACCTACTCGGATACAGAACAAGTGGTCATTAAACCACTGAGTGAACATAAAATATTTTGAGTTTTTTAGTTCGGCCAATTTCCATTAATGTCCAGCCGATATGTATTGTCATCAGTGACACATATTTCATTTCACTCACTTTTCAGTATGATTTCAAATGTTCTTTTAAGCTAATATCCAATGAGAAAATCGTGAATTACTTAAAAATAGAGATTCACATAACTTAATCCTGTCGTCTACAGGTTAAATGTTTCAGCGAGAGACTAAAACTTTTGGTTTCGATTCTTGGATGAAGAGTCGAGAACGCTTACTGTTAAGTAGTCTCTTATAAGGGTGAAACATTTTTCAAATACTTTAAGGTTATCAGCTGTTGTTTGGCTGAGATCATGATTTAACCTACGAATTACGATATAAGTTTGCTCATGAACAGTAACCTTGTAGCTATACACATAGACAAACTTTACAAAATCTCAGAAAGTTGAATATTTTATTTTCTTTACAGATTTTCATTTACTTTTGATCTATTACTGATCAAGGAAAGTGAATCATTGAGAAGTTGGAAGTTACAGTTATTTGGTTTTGTCAAGTACATTTTGACAGGATTACATTGGGATTAAACAGATGATATACTGATATTAAAATTATCATAGGAACGCTCCTCAATTTATTTGTTATTCTAAGCAGATATATATTTATTTCATTAGATAATCGATTCTAAATTGAAAGAAGGATGGAGTTCACGAATAATGTCTTAACAGCCGCAACAGATGTTAGATGATAATTTTAGTTAACATTGTAAAATTAGTATTTAAATAAACATTATTGACTGCTCACACAGAGTTTCGCACTTGTCATTAGTCTTTCAATTTGATAATTAAAGGTTTTTGAAAGCATCTTGTGTGATTGTCAAACTTAGTACTCACTTGGTTATATGCAAACAATACAATTTCGGTACCTACCATGAATAATAAATCACATTATTTACATAATGTTGGGTTTGTAACAAATTCATAAACAGTCAATTACTAAACGAACAAGGCATGGTATCAATTAATGGGTCCAATAAAAGGTTTAGAATCAAGACAACGAACTGATAAATATCCGTTTGAAAAATAAGTATGGTAATTATCCTATTAACAATATTTATGATTTGATATTACAGAATAATTAAAAATTAAAAAAGCATTAGGTGTGCTTCTGTATAGTTTAAGACTTCGTGTCAGACGTAGTGAACTCAGTAGAATACAATCACAGGATCGAGATATCACAGTTGTTATGTCCAACTGCAGTTGATCGGTGAAGTTTTACAGCAAGTAGCTGTGAAATCTGTTTGACTCCCAGCATAGTTGATCACTTAGAACTGACGCCGCTCAGAAAGAGTGATAGGAGTGTATTTCACAAAGCTAAACAATGAATTGAATTCGTTTGTCCACCGATGAATAATTCCACTATTGAAATAGAGATTATATGCTTGTTAGTGATTAACATCAAGAGGTTATTTCCAAAGTTCTAGTAAAGTAACTATTTCAGTTCAATTATGTCTTGGGAGAGGGAGTTGTCCATCCATGACATTAAACGAAAATTAATGAATACTGGCTCAATGATCCGAAGGTTTATGTTTCAATCCCTAGTAGGTCAATATTTCTCGGTTGATATTCAGTCTCATACTAGAACAAAATATTTATTCAGTTTTTTTTCGGATTCCAGATTGCTCAAGTACAAACTTTGGTTTTTTATCTGAGTGAACAATTGATGCTTCACAAATCAAATGAAAACATTATTACAACGAAAAATGGATTTTTTCCGGACGATGCATATCATCATTATTCTCAACAACAGAGACGAGAACAATTTCTAGTCCAACAAAGAACTACATCGGATGAAATTAAAAGTCAGAAAGATAATCAATCACAAAATAATAATCATAATTTGAAACTATTTAGTGATAAAGTAATTGAAAGTTGTTTTATTTTTTAACAGAAAATGGAAACTTGTTCATTTTTCATTAATCATATTGCGATTTGGGTGATTCAGTCTATCACTATAAGCTAATGTGTTAGTGAATGCTTGTGAAGAAATGACTAAAAAAAAAATGAAAAACACTATTTACTGATCCAGAAAACTAATGATTAAGTTAATATCATGTTACATGGAGATTTTGGGTTCAATCACTGATGTAGTTGCGATTACTTATTGCCTATGAGTCCTAGACCACAAAGAAACACGTATTTTAGTGTTCTCTGCTTCTTCCAATTAATAGTCAGCTTAAGGCACAGGAGATCAGTCGCAGCCCGAACAACTCAGTCTTTATGTCTTGAACTGTAAAGGTGCGTCATAGAGTGTAATAAACAATGACTATGAGACCGGATGAAATAATAATGTATTTGAAGAAGATACAGTTTGCTGACAAAATATTTATGCTTGATCGTATCTGGTCTTTAAAACAATATGATCGTCTTCGGATCTGACATTTATCTCTCCAGTAGTAACTTTTGGGATAGACATTCTACTGTATGCTTCTTATAAGCCACGCTGCGAGTAGTATCCATCACAACAGGATCGAATAGGTCAGAATGCATCACTCCCCTGAAGATTACAGGTACTTGCAATGTTATTCAGTAGCTGTATAGCACAAAAACTAGGTCAAGCAGAGTTCCCTATCAGCTACCCTATTCTTCAGAGTAATTTAAATAGCCATAGGTCCATAGCATGGTGTAATTTTTTTTTCAATTTTAGTGAAGTCTTAATTCCACAGTTAAAATGACCTCATCATTTACAGATAATTTAACGAATGGTAGAATGAATCAATTAGTTTGAAATTTTTAAAAATGTTTCACTCTGTTTAAAAATTGGAAATGATGAGAATTGTTTGTTATTAATTAATTGTTTAGTACACAGAAACTAGTGAAACACTCTCGTTAGATACAATAGCATTAGTAATGAATTCACAAGTTATACATGGTCCAAGAAATCTTCAAGCAACTTTAGTTACGTTGGATAATACATGGTTAATAACATGGGATAGACCAGAATCAGTCGATGTTGAGGAGACAACATTTTCTGCTAATACTGGATATGTTGTAAGTATTTTCAAGAAAACATTTTTATTGATAATGAAACAATAAAACGACCTGTTGACTTATGAATGGATGGTTTATGATGATATAATTCACTTTAATAAGTTTTAATTCAATTTAGTAAGGGGGTGAAATGGCTCAACAGTCACTTTACTAACTGACCTGCAGAAAGTACCAGTTCTCCATAAAGTTAAGAAATACACTGTTTACGAGTGAATAAGCCTACTCTTGAGTAAATTCTCAACCTCTAGACCACTATGCCAACATCCTACGATGTCAGTGTCTAACTCCAATGAATTCACGATAATGCGCAAACTTCATCGATTGCTTGCGATATTACACCCAAAACCGATGGAACTCCAGTGATCTCTTGAATTCCCGAAGTTACATTTTGAAGCTATTCACTAGTGACTACAGGATTATTATTGCTTGTGTAGTGAGTGTGTAAATAGAGATTGCAGAATATTATTAATTTTGATCCCAAAAACTTGAACGGTGTCTCAGCGATCTAGAAATTAGGCGTTCATGTTCTGAATCCCGAACTTGAGTTTATGGGTACGCTCTTCTGGACAATCCTACAGGCAGATGAAACGTCAGTTGGTTGTTTCCAAGTTTTGGATAGTGGTTTAGCCTTGATCAGTTCATAATTTCAACTGTAAAGAATCTACAATCCTCACAAATCCCCCACATTAATATTACGGTTGTATTAATTATTTAAAGAACTGAATAAAATTTTTAGTGAGTTGTTGATGAAGACCATAATATTTGTTTATATATGTTGATCAATTATCTGCTCAATTACTATAGTCTACGCAAAATGATAACGTGTAAGTTAAGAGTTGATATTTATAACTATAAGAGGTTATGTTTGCGAAGGAGCAATTAATCTCTTAATGTTGTTGTGTTCTAAGTGAAAGTTGAGTACACTGTATTTAATTATACCATGAAAGAAATTGAATTTCGGTAAGTTCATTTTTAAACAGCAGTATTTTGAAAAAAATAACTTGGTGAGATGTTCAATTCGATTTGAAATGATTTTGTTCATCCGAATTTCGATATTGCGACTGAAATTTGATCATTCTTTTTTGAGTTGACAAGATCGGGTTCGAGTCATTCATCTGAGAATAATCAGAGAGTACGTAAAGCTCGTCCTTGATTTCACTGCTAGGCCCACCCCTTCTATTCTAGATCAAACTTTGTCGTGATGGTTTTATCAAGGTAATCAACACAGAATGCATATATACCAACTATAACTGGTCGATATTAAGTCAGGACGATCAAGAACATGTTGACTGAAACTAATTCAAACTAAATTAACTAAACCTGATCCGCCTAAAACAGGACAAAACGTCCATCCAAGGATTTTTTCGCTAACCATAATTTAAATATACCTAGTTGATAGAAATTTAAAAAGCACTTTTTAAACTTATTTATATATTACAATTTACATGGTTTTTTTTTATTGTAAACTTTCTCGTAATTTATTCTTTTTTCCATAGTTGTCAATTAATGGAATTGAAATAAAGCGTATACCAAGCGTAAATGTTACCAAATCGATTATCAATTTATCAGAATCAGTTAAATATCCTGTGACATTGAAAATTCAATCAATAGATGAGAATAATTATTTATCTGAACCAGCTTTGATAACACTGAATGATTAACGCTTTGTTTAATTTTTAAATAAACTGAATTCAGCTAGTCGAATGTTCTGCGCTACATATCATCAGTATTGTAAGTATTACCGTCAAACGTCAAAATGAATCTCAGCTACAATTTAAACGTGACAGATAACACTGCCGATTATCCGGTCAAATCGAAGTAAGCTGAGAGGGACTCATACTAGGAACTGATTGACTGGACGTTGAACGTTTTGACCACTAAAGCACCGTTCCACTTACAAAATATAGATTAACAGTGAGTGATGACTGTTTAATAAAAACGAAATAGTGATGTACTACTTCGTAAACGAGCAATGGAAAAAAAACCAGTTGATCTGGAAAACATGTTGTAATGAAAATAACTAAGTGGTGCTTCAAACATTCATAAATATACAAATTAACCGATGTACTTACTTACACCTGGTACCCCTAATGGAACGTAGGCCGCCAACCATCGAATTATTTTTCTGGTGAGCATTTTATTAGCAAGTTGTATTTCAACGCTATGGGTTCTCTAACCCAGTGTCCGACCCTCCTCTTTTATCCAGGCTTGAGAACGACAGAAACCCAAGAAGGGCTCTACCCGGAGTTACGCTGACCAATTTAGTTAATCTTAGTCTGAAAGGTTTGTGGAGGCCACTCTATCTTCAGTTTATGTCATGAATAAACTTTAAACAGAAAACCGTTCAGCGGTTAGAAGCGATGCGCAGCTGTCCCGTCCCAGCGTAGGAAAATTAATTAGTGCCCATACATGACTGCACCAAACTTTGAACACCAATTTGAAATCCAAGGATAGGAATTACTAAATTCAGCTAATTCATGATACTGAGTGATCATTGTCGATTCAATCTAATGATATTTATATAACTTATACCAAGTTTGATTTCCATTAATCTACGTTTTCCAAATAAATTCCTCAAGTTGATATTTTTCCTCTTATATTCATTATATGTTGTATCGGTTAGCTTGGATAAGTCTAGAACGCAGTCTGAATGAAGTGAGTTACGAACTGATTTTTAATAAATAAATGACTTACATTTATTGTCTCGGGTGAGTATGTATACTTTGTGGTTGATTCTAAAATATTTGGTTGATTTTACCAAGAAAGAATAACTTAATTATTTTCGAAATATTTACATCACTGCTGATGATCTTACTTAAGTAGAAAATATAGTTAGTTTTAAGTAGCTGATAAAGTTTCTTAGTTCATTAAGTTGTGAATAGTGTCTTTACCACAACGACACGATCTCATGAATTATGAGAAATTCAAAATTTCAGTCATTAAATTCTTTCTTCATAACTTAAAGTTATCTTGGTCGCTGTTCAGTCTGTAGCCTTAGGGTTCGACCAATGGAAATCAGATAGATATTCACTGCTAGTGATTTTAAATTTAGAGGAGACATGTAACTAGCGTTTTCTAGCTTTGAATGGTGGGTTTAACTGGTAGCATCTCGATATGAAGATTTACTTCTAAAAAGGACTATTAGCTTAGTCTTCCTCCTTGGATGACTTATGTCAGTCAAAATTAAAATGTAATAATGCAGATAATTTTTCTGACACCAAATTACATAAAAAGATGTTTTTGGGTGGATGAAGGATTCACTACCATGTACTGTGTTTAGTTTAATGTCGAGCCCACAAAGCTTGTTTCAGCCTTTGGACAGTTTATACAAACCGGCTTTACCTAAGTGCGATTTACGGAAACTGAAGAGGAGATTTATTGCTCAGCACATTTGGTTGTTCGTAAATAGTGGAGACAGATGATAGCCCTTACTTCGAATCTAACTCAGCTACAAGCGCAAAACAATGTGTATTTACTGGATTCAACCACTACTTAGAACTGAGTTGAAGTCACAGACCGAATAAAATAAATTATATATTTTGCCTGAAGGCATTATTTATCTAACTAACTTAGATTGCGGGGTTGTTGTGAAGATTGTTAAGTTTTATTTGTAACCATGAATCGTGACCAGTGAAGTTCAAACCTGTCCGGATGTATACAGGGTATGAGGTCGCGCAACTCCGTGGATTTGATCAAGTTAGACATTACCACCGTCAGATACCGGCTCAGTGGTCTAACGGTTAGGGCGTTCGCGCACAATACCGAAAGTCCTGGGTTCGAATCCTGCGAGGAGCAGGAGTCGTGGATGTGCACTGCTGATGAGTCCCATACCAGGGTGAAACGGCTGTCCAGTGCTTCCAGGTTTCTATTGGTGGTCTAACATTGATCGATTCATGGTTACAAATATAACTAACTTAGGGTTTGGATTCACATTGAAAAAGAATCTGTCTTGTTTTAACCATTCAAAGTCGGTTTTAATGATAAGGGTTTCAGAATATTTCTTACGTATTCACGACTTTCTATCTACCAACTATAAACATATTGGATATAATTCAAAATTTTGAATTAAAACAAACACTATTTAGTTGAAATAACTAATGTTCAATGTGAATCATCTTATCGATATCAGACAGTCAATTGTTAACTGAAAATAAAATTTATTCCATTTTCCTTCAGATAACCAAATAATCTGTTGGCATCATTTATCTCGATTCTTTTACTGCATAGACAATTTCGCAAAAAAAACACCATGAAAATTCTATCTCACATTTTTATCACTGATAGAAGACATGGTTTACGTACATATAGAAGCAATTGTCCAATCAATATAATCTTCCTTTTTTGATAATTACTTGTCTGGTGCATTTAAGAATCTTTCTAATTAAAAATACAGTTTCTACATAATAGGTATTTAGTTAGTACGAGGGTAATTTAATGCATTTATTGTTCTTCACTCTCATTTCCTGTGTTACTGAACACTTAGAACAAAATATATAGACATTTTAACAAAGACTAATACACACTGTTGTTATATCAGTAAAACAATAGAGACAATTTTTATTTTAATTTTTTCAAAATGAATTTTCCTATTTCTAATCATGTTCTTTAATGTCTATTGTTTCTCATCATATATTTATATATGAACAGGAGATATTTACAATAGATTTTTGATTATTATTATTATTATTATTATTATTATTATTATTAATTCATTGTCATATTGATAATTTAATGAAAGCATTATACACAAACATATCTTATTCAATGTTCAATGAAACAAAACAAAACCCAACCAATTACATTCTAATTCTATTAACAAATGTGCGTATACACATTTGTTATGGATGTTATGTATGCTACAGGTCATATAAGTGCATTAATGTGATTGGGAAATTTATTTCTTTTAAACAAAATTTATTTTTTAAAATACAATACACATTAAATTTTCATAATACAATTAGAACATCTTTATAAGTTATTTTATACGAAGCTTACTAATGAAGTAAAAAGCGATCTAAAATAGGTCATATACTTGGTTTTTTTCCAATTAGAGTTATGGAGATTAGTGCTTTTACATATTGAAATCATCAACCAATCATTGTTAGACCGTCAGTAGAAACCTGGAAGCACTGGATGGCCGTTTCATTCCAGTATCGGACTCACCAGCAATGCGCATCCACGACTCATGCACCTCACTGGATTCAAACTCAGGACCTATAGTCTTGCGAGCGAACACCTAAACTCTAGACCACTAGGCTTGTATCCAACGGTGTTAATGTCTAACTCTGATCAATGGAGAGATTTTGAGTGACCGCACCAATTTGTCTTTGGTAGTTACTGCTTATATATACTTTTAAAGAAATAAAAATTCATGAATACGAACTAATTAGTGTGTTTTGTATGTTACTCGACGTTGAAAATGATTTAAACATCTTTATATAATAAATAGTCTAGGGATGATATTCATCAAACAAAATTCAACAATGCACAAAGCAGGTGCGTTACTTCAATCTTGCATTTCATATCAAACTAGAATTAGGTCAACAATTTCAGTCGAATTTTCAGTCTTCTAATCTTCAGCCTACTCAAGACTCTCCCAATAAGATAAAACAGCTCCGATTTTCAATGATAATCCAGGTGATAAGGACTAACTTCAGATTCGATTGAACTTGGTGAATTTCTTAGCAAATATAACGATTCTCATATTAACGTTTACTGAAACGTTATTAGTATCTTCAGATTTATATTCTAGTCATGATAAAACTGCTTAGAATACCTAGAAGATTTACTCTATTTATTAAGTCAACTGAAACAGTTGCTTGAATGACCTCAGCTGGAAAATATTCTGAAACACTGAATGAACTAATAAAAATATATTTACGGACAGGTTCAATGCAATTAGTTTTCACAAAAGACATTCGACACAATTAATTACAAAATGCAAATTGATATCAGTCATAGCACAAGAATTTACCTCGTTTGTTGCATCTAATAATGATTTGGCGCACAGCACAAAGGCTTTAAAAATATGGAATGCTAAACCTAGTCAGCGAAATACATTAGATGTAAACTTATTCATAAATACACCAATAAATCTAAATATAATTAAAGTTGACTGAAAGTTATGAGGTTTTGTTCTTCACTAAACTATTAAATTATAAAACTACTTACATTAGGTCTCCAATTCAACAACACAATTACAGTTATAATTGAAATCATGAATCGATCAATGTTAGACCATCATTATAAACCTGTAAGCACTAGACAGCTGTTTCGTCCTGGCATGAGATTCCTCAGCAACGCGCAGACACAGCTTCCACTACACATAGAATTCGAACCAATGACTTCGTTCTCATACGCGAATGCCTAATCTCTGTACCGGCGAACCGACATCTAACGGTGTCATTGTCTGACTTCGGTCAATCCATGGTCTTGAGGTTAGGCGTTCGCGTGTAAGACCAAAGGTGCTAGGTTTGAATCCTACGAGTAGAGGGAGTCGTGGATGCGTGTTGTTGACGAATCCCACACAAGGAATGAACGGCCATCCAGTGTTTCCAGGTTTCATGATCTCAAAAAGTTACTCATGAATCATGATGAAATTTATAGATCATGGGTTAGTTGCTTATTTATCAGTAATAAGAAGTATTTTGCATAATATGAATACTGTTTTCAGTAAACGTTAGAATGCAGTTGAAG